TTAATTTGGTTGTCTACAAAGATGCTACTTTTCGAATCGAGCCGAACTACGCGGGTCGCCATTTTGTTTTGACCGGAAGTTCTCGCGCTACTCCTCTCTCCACTGCCACTGCCCACATACAAAATTGTACGCTTTTAGTAGGCTACAGTTGTAATGGAACGTTTGTTCACGGCACAGAATTCTACAATTTTTCTGTTATCACAGTGTAGAATTCTGTGGTTAAGGGTGAACGCAAAATTTGTTGGCCTAGATCTAGGCTATAACGGTGAACGCGCACCGGGTGAGAATAGCCAAAAGACAAAAGACTAGCCTGCACTCTATTCTCATCCCGGGTGAGAATAGAGGTGGCCTATCTATTGTTTCACTAGATCTAGATCTAGATTCTAGATCTAATCTAGATCTAGATCTAGATTCTAGTTTTACGGGTTCTGGGCACCAAACAATTATAAGCAAGGACTGACACAGAGCACCTTTAAAGTCCTTAATTTTTAGGACAACACACCAACGCCAACACAACGCCGACAACGCCACACACAGTACACACACTCTTGTCAAGTCTACTTTACTGTCGACTCCAGGTCAACATAAAAATCGGCTTATTTGACAAATCCAACTGTACAGAGATAACTACAAACAAATCAGGTTTAAACTTTAATAAAATCAGACTCTGCTAATTAACAGAATAAAACCCACTCCACAAAAAAGGACTGTGCCCTGTGCGCTGGACTAGGCCTACCTTTTCTTTTCTTCTCTGCAGCTCTATGATCTCGTAGGCCTACTGACTGCTTAGTCTGGCCATGCAACAGGAATATCCGGTAAGGGGCAATGGGAGAGCACTCGGTAAGTTTGTTGGTAAAACCGGTGAGCACACACATTTGGCACCTTTTTGTTTGAGTTTTTGATTAGGCCTAGGCTACGTTGGGGATGCTTTTTTACAAGGACCGCAGTGTAGGCTACCATGACATGTACATCACGTACCGAAGTCACATTACATACCAAAACAGACAGTACAACAGGCTTTAGCTTTTTACCATGCCAAGAACATAAAGTGGAACCCACAAGGAAAACGGAAAAAGGGAAGATCAAAGATGACATGGAGACGAGCAGTACAAGCTGAAATTGAAAAAGCGGGGACATCATGGAAACAGATAGAAAAGGATGCTCAGGACAGGCTTCGCTGGAGTAATGCTGTTGATGGCCTGTGCTCCACTGGGAGTTAAAAAGGGCAAGAGAGAGAAGAACATAAAATTACAGATGCCGCAGAACAACAAAAAATGCAAATAGATAAAAATAAGTAATAAACGGACGAACAAATATTATTGTTAGGTCTACTATTATCATCATTATCTTTGCCTTTTTCACCCTGGATCAGGATATAGGCCACGTACAAACACTTTCCACCTTTCCCTATCCTGGGCGAGTCGCATGTCGCTCCATGTCTTATTCCCACTTGTCTGTACATGATCCATTTGTTTGTTGTTGTTTTGTTTTTTTTGTGGTTTTTTTTGGGGGGGGTTGCTAACAGCAGAATTGATGATGATCCGATCCAACATGATCTGCCCCTCTCTGTACTGTGACATCTTCCTGTGAACGCCTGAACCTACGTGAGATACAAAAGTGATCGATCTGGTTCTCCGCCACTCCATCCGGTGATACCCATACGTAACCTTGTGGGTCCTCTTGTGGGGAAAAACAGAGCCTCCAATGACAAAACTGTTGAAAGCACAGACATTTGCAAATCGCTCACCGTTCTCAATTATTTGTCCCATGCCGTGTTGTCCCATGATTCCCTTATAAACTACGTTGTCCTGATCAATCTTAGCATTGGCATCTCCCTTTACGATGTTGACATCCTTCCTTGGTAGTTTTTCGATGACCCGATGCTTCATTTGGGGCGTAGATCTGAATTATGTTAATGTTGATGCTCTTATTCCTTGTATGAAGCTATGATGATCCTCTTCTCCTGTGGTTCTCATCCTCTAATAAGTAACTTCAGGGCATACTTACTCAAAATAATTCCAACTCCCTCCGCACGGTGCTTGTCTTCCCTCTCAGGATACAATATTAATCCCCCGAGTCGAGCTGCTTCTGTCCAGACTGGATCCAATGGGTTTCGCTGAATCCTATAGTATGTGCAGCCTGTATCTCTTCATCTTTTGTACTATTGAGAACTCTTTCTGCTTCATACGTGGTGCGAACATTCCACGACGCAATCCGGATACTTGTTCAACAGAGATGATGCAGTAAAAATTGTCATCGAACCCGGACATAAAAGTTTACAAGCAAATTTTTGCGCCAATTTGAACTTTGGGATGTTATGTACTTCCAAAAAAAAATTCAACCAAAATCACACTTGGGGAACGTAAGCTTAAATTTCGGGTCTGAAGGGTCCTTTTGGCTTTGTCCGCTGTCCTTCATTATTCCTGCTTCTACTATTATAGTAATAGTAGTACAAAATTAATATGACATGTTTAGTTTGTTTTAGTAGAGTTTTTACGGCACTCGCAACTGTATAAGGTCATATGAACGCCAAGGGGTGTATGTCAACAGAGAAGTCCTTACAGGGAATAGGCTTACTCTGCTCACCTCTCTAGCTTCAACAACACAAAGTCTGCTTCGACTATCAATAAGGCACGGAAATAGCGAGTCACAATAGTAATGACGTAGTAAGGATTAAGAAAGAAAAGGCAGCAGATCCCTGTTGCACTTCAGGCACAATAATATGAGCGTGATATTGATGAATCAGCCCTTTTACAATTGTGAGGCAGCGTGGTAGAATCAGGCTCTCGCCAATTCTTGGGCATGTAGAGATATTAGTATCATCTTAAAGCTCGTTCACTTGTCTTTATTTGGATAAAAAAAAGTATCAATTTATCTTGAATACAAGTTGAGATATTTACGAAAGAAGGAGGTGGGGGAGTCACCTATTTTCAGAAGTAAAATTAGTGAGAAAATGGCCGCTAAAGGTTAGTTATTTCCTTAGCTTAAGAGTCCGTGGTAACTGAAAATTTACTTTTTCTGTGTCTTTAATCAACGTTTTTCAGAAAAATCCACACAGAAATGAGTTCTTTAATGGGCATGAAAGGTGTTGAGCCAAAAAAAAAAATTTAATAAAAATTCACAAACCTGCGGAAAAATGCAAGTTTCTTCATTTTGATTATTTTGACGAGAGCCTGATTCCACCACGCTGCCTCACAATTATACACTGCATAATTATGTTAATGTCTCCCCCCCCCCCCTTTGGGAATGGACTAAAGACACTTAAATCAGTTAAAAAGCATCCCCCGAGGGGGACCTTATTGTGTTGCAAGTGCCATACAACTTTTACTAAAACTATGTTAAAAGCAAATTTGCCGCTTTTGTTGTTGTTGTTAAACAGCGCATCCTTCGTGATGATACCATTTATGATGAAAACATTTCTTTTGATTTCCATCCACATCAGAATTTCAAGTAGGTATCCTATACGTTAGGCCTATATTTTTGTATTTAAGAAGAAACACTAGGTTCCAGTTTAAAACTACCTCAACTCACTGATAAAAGGGGCTTATGTTCTGGCCATTGTTTTGTCTTATCTCCACCCACAGAACAAAATCGTACATAGTATGCAGTTAATAAGCTCAAAACTTCATTCAAGTGTAGGTCCTAAACGCACAATCTAACAGCACTGTAGAGCCGAAAGAGAAATAAAATAAATGAGGAGGTTCCGAGGGGGGGGGGGGGGCGTGTTCAGTCTATGCTGCCGTTTGTCTTGAGTCTGGAGCCGCACAGATGTTCAAACTATAAAGCCAAGAGCATAGATGTACTTTAAAAGGGGGTAACTCTATGGCCAAGAGTCAAGTCACGCCTTGTGCCTAGGCACGTCCTACAGCGCGACTTCAGCCCCCGAATCTCATAGAAGAACCATCGGATGCTTGTCTCGGCCATGAGCCATGCAAGGTCAGTTTCCCAGTGTGGTATTCAGTCTGTGGGAACAGGTAAGGGACAAACCAGCCTACAGTTGTATTAGAGGTACAAGACACGCAGACCAATATAGATCACTCTTCAAGCAGGCTATAGTAGGCCCTATACTGTAGACTAACCAGGAATTTCGTTTGGGTGTTCGTGGATTTTTGTTTTTAAAAATACCGGTAAATAAATCGGAAATCTGAATAAATTATTACGTTTTCTTTCTTAAAAAAATTTGTGAACACGTTTTGTTTTGATTTAGTCAGAGAAGTAGAGAAGTAGCCTGCTTTGAGGTGAAGAATACCAGGGTGGAGCTGCAAGCCCTACCCCATAAGACACCCCGATAATAATAATAATAATAATAATAATAATAATAATAAAATAATAATAATAATAATAATAATAATAATAATAATAATAATATAATAATAATAATAATAATAATAATAATAATAATATAATAATAATATAATAATAATAATAATAATAATAATAATAATAATAATAATAATAATAATAATAATAATAATAAATGATAATCATCCTCACCATTGTTTGGAAAGCAGAGAGGGAGAGTCTTGTTTGATTTTGAGAAAAAATAATATAACAATATTAAAATGTTAAAAAAATTTTTAATAGACACAGCTCAACGCTTCGCCTCTTGGGCTTCCTCGGGAGCAACTCATGAGATAAAAACTAAATGGGCGCTGTATACTAGCAAGGAAATGGGCCTTTCTAACTAAATAAAGAGGGTCCTAATATGATTGCATGTGGTGGTTAACAGGACTGACGGAAGTGACTCGACAGTGCGAGCCGAGCCAAGGGTCAACAGGGGCTATTATAATCATCATCGTCCTAGTTGGCTTACACCCATAACCAAAATGGGTCTATACTGCATGTCGTGGACACGTGTGTATGTGTGTGTGTGTGTGTGTGTGTGTGTGTGTGTGTGTGTGTGTGTGTGTGTGTGTGTGTGTGTGTGTGTGTGTGTGTGTGTGTGTGTGTGTGTGGGCATAATATAGGCCCATTTGTGTGTGAGTGTGTGTGTGTGTGTGTGCGTGTTTGTAATTTAAGTAATTTGTGTTTGTGAGTGAGTGAGAGACCCAAGACCATTACTGATATTATGCTGAATATTCAAAGGCGCGGTGATCCAGGCCTAGCAGATTACTCATCTTGTGCTATAATAGACCCAGAGACAGTGTATGTTAACTGTCTCTGATTAAGAGAGACCTAGGCCTAGTCTAGCCTAGCCTGTAAATCTATGACATTGACCAAGGCCAGCCAGTCAACTGAGTCAACTCAAGGTTTGTAAACTCCTTGGGTGGACTCATAGAGTTATCTCCTTTTAAACTATAGTCAGAGACACTGTTATAGTGTACATACATCTATGGGTGGACTAGATCTAATCTTGCCACAAAGGATATATTCTATGTAGAACTATGTCGGCTGTGTTGTAGAGCTAAAAAATGTGTAAACATTTTATTTTTATTGCTTCTATAATCAATACAAAACAATGTTTCCCAACAAAAATACAAGTCATGATATGTGGAGCTCAATTAATTATCAGAAGGTCAAAACAAGTCACATATTAATCACAAATCGTCTAGATTCTAAATTTAGATATCTAGATTCAACCAAAGTCAAAACCTGGCAAAACTAAGGAATTCTCTCTCAAGAAAGTAACGATGTGCGCATTCGTTTGAGAGACCCACTTTTGGGAGAAGAACGTCAAGATCTTGATTTTGTAGGCTATACAATCTGAAAGTAATTAGGTATCGCAGCCAATGTGGTTAACCGAAAAACCGTGAGTATAAAGATGGGCCGTTACGAGAAGAGGTACCAAGAGAAATACCTTTGGACTAGGGATCTAGAATCTAGAATCTAGCCCTTCTTCATTCTTCCTGTCAGTGTTCTGTTTTCCTGATCAGCTGTTTTTCTCATTTATTAATATAGTGTAAAGCGCATATTAGCCTGCTGTTGAGCGGGGATATGCGCTATACAAATGCTCTTTATATTATACTATAGTTATAATTTGTTGTAAAGTTGTCAGGCCATGTGTGCATGCTGCATTGTTTGAATTCCAGAGACTGGTCTTTAGATTCTATACTTTATTGAATTGAGCTTGGGTTGTTTTGTGGAGTTTTCGAGGCTTCCAACCCATTTGACTTGGTCTTATTGGAGCTGGACATTATATTTGGAGGTTCCCCTTTTTTGAAATTTAATAACCTAATAGTGTTTAGTTAGTAGTTAATAAAGTTTAATCGTATGGATGGGTTTAATAAAATGTCCTTTTATCACTTATTAGATTATTGGAAGTGGCTATTCTCCGGCGTCGCGCCAGTAAAAAAAATCAATGGCTATTCTTCGGCATCACGTATAGTTAATAGTTGCACATGTCGCTTCTCCACAGCTTTTCATCTCCCCTGTCGGCACATTATGGCCTTACACAAACACTCATTAGGGTGGGCATTTCTTCAGAATGCAATTCACCATAAATGGAATGCAGCCACTACTCAATGAAAGCAGCAGTGACGGAAGAAGGAGGAATTTCTGTGTGAGAAGTAACAGCACCAGAAGCGCCAATAACCCTCAGTCACAACCAGAAGTACAAGAAGGCACACCTGGCTCTGAACTCAGTTTCAACAATATAATCATCATAATGGCCATAAAACGTAATAACAATTGCATTTATATAGCGCATATCCATGCTCAAGAGCATGCTCTATGCGCTTTACAACTATTATTACCCCAGCAGACCCTCTAAGAACACTCAGAAACATTTTCGGCTTCCGCGGAAGCATACAGTGCAAGCTGCGGATTTCACGCGCTCAAACACTAGCAAACTGACAAGATCGTTCACTGTCTATAGCCGGGTACCCATTTCCACCTGGGTAAAGTGAGGAAAATTTGTGCAAAGTGCCTATCCCAAGGACACAACGTCGGGTCCCTGACGGGATTCGAAACCACGACCTTACGGTTGCAAGCCCGAGAGCCTAACCACTAAGCCACCGACGCCACATGCCAACAGGGGAGATGGAAAGCTGTGGAGAAGCGACATGTGCAACTATACGCGACTCTAGAGAATAGCCATCGATCTATTGACCGGCGCAACGCGGGAGAATAGCTACTTGCTAAATTATTTGAGAGGAGGGACTTCCTAATTAAACGTTTGTCTTCAATAGGATCAAGCCAAATGGGTTGATAGCTTTAAAATAGGGGGTTTCATGAAAAAAATTGAGAACCATCAAATAGACCAAAATACATATCACTAGGTAGAGCTAAAAGAGCTGAGTAAAGCAAGACAAACTGCATGAAGATTGGATAAAGGAAAAACAAGAATGTAGTCGAGTACGGACAACACGAACACAGAAAACTTAAAATCAAGAACAACTCGTTCAAATTTCCATCCCTGACTGATGTCTCTTCAATTTTTCATCACCTTTAACCCGAATTATGGATGTGTAGAAGAGATTTGTCAATCCCCGATGTATTTGATTGACAGCTAGCTAAAGCACGCTTACTTCGCATTTCGTACAACCATTGGTGAATAATTATTATTATCACAACTCTTTGTGTGCTACGTGTGTCATGTATCATTCTTGAATCATTGATCACTTTACTATTCTGGTAGATGATACTTAATTTGTCACTTGAAAAAAGAAAAGATGTACTTATCAGACCACAATACTATCTTGTCAAAAATGCAATCAGCGACATTTGTACCAGGTAAAACAAAACTTTTGAACACAAATATCTTTGTAAAAGACAAACGCTAGGAAGTGGATAGCACACACAGTGTAATCAAGAGGTCCCTAAAAATAGTCTGATCAATGTGCTCATGAATAATCTTGAACGTCATTAAGAAAACAAGACAATATGTCCACACACACACACACTTGTTATGTTCGATTTTTAGACCATTTAGACCTGGCTGAAACAAGAATGACCCCGTTGTCACAAGCGTTCATTGCCTACATTGAACAAAAAACGACACCCAGTGCAAACTGAACGTTAAGATGAATGGTCTTTTTTACCAACTCCAGGAGGCTGCCTCTGAAGACTCAACCACAATATGTGTTTGGATGGCCTGCAAATTCAGCAATTAAAATATAAACATCTTTAGAAACTCAAAAGCGTGATTTTTTCTTTGATGATCTCAAGACAATTCGGGTCAATGAACCAAGTTGATTTATTACGTTAACAACAGGAACAGTTTCATTTTATTTCTTGTTTGTAAAATATACTTGGACATTTCCTACTTCTACGGTCAGTTTTTGAATGGGTCAGTGCTGTGTCTAAAAATAAGGCCGAAAATAGGTTGCATGAAGGTGTGTTGGGAATTTTTCCTGTAGAAGCCTCATGATTGCTCCACCCTGAAAAAATGACTCAATAACTTTAAATAAAAATGTTTGCACAAAACTTTCATGAATAATGTCTTTATTGCTCTTTTTGTTGGTTTTAAACATTAATATCTGAGCTTATAAAAGGCACTGAAAGTTAGGTAGGATATAAATTAATTTCAAGTTACATGTGTGACTTTCTATTTTCAAGCAGTATACAACAGTCTTTCTTACTTAAAATGCTACTTGTTTCACTTTTTTATCATGTTTGCACGAAAACAACTGAATTAAGACGGAATGGCATTTAAAAAATCTGTTAAAACTATTATGATTTGCTTTTATCAAAAACACAAACGCCCAAGCGACCACTGGCGCTCGTCGAGTGGCATTGATTAACGTGATTCCAACGCCTAGATGCCGTCATATTGTCACGCAGATTTTGGCAAGTCTAAATCGCCTATATCCGGTAACTTTTGTAAGAAAAAAAAATAGTTGGTTACCCACCATCGTCCCACATCATATTATATCATAATAATATGTGAATTTCAGATTCATCGATACGAGCCTAAAGAAATAAACGTTTTTTGCTTCTCCTGAAAAATTTGTCTCTTGGCACTTATGCAGTTGTATCACGCAGAATGCGAGTTCCTTTTGGTGAACTCAATACTAATTATTTCATCTTGTTGCCAGGTGAACTTATCAAGATTTTTCAATTTCTTTTTAATTCTGCACCCTGACTATTGCATAATGCGCACAGAATCTGGGTAAACGCCATTTTACCTGACACCCCCCCCCCCCACACACACCCTGCCTTCCGATAGATCAAGATTTTCTAGAACTCAACCTGCGCTTTCTTCAATCAACCTTTTCTTTCTTGGATTGATAAGAGTTCACTCTTAAATCACGTCGGAGGAGGACCAAAGCCCACCACATTTTTTAATATCCTTTGAAAGTTTCATTTTAATTTCAACTTTCGTACATATTCAGTATAAGAATATAAAAAAGTATCTGTGGCCGTTAATCATAATATTAATGTTTGTCACTCTCATACTACCAGATATAGTCGTACCATTGATGGCAGTTGTTTGTTTACATCAGTTACAGTAAAAATCCAGAGTTTCGAAATGAAATGGGATAGTGTAGTAAAGTTTGATTTTCTGCTACAAAACTTTAATAATTTTTAACAAAGATGACATTTCTAGAGAGCTAAATATGATATCTGTCAATATAACTTGCCGTGGGAGCATTTGCCATCGTTGATTTAAAAAAAATTGGAAAATGAAATATATCGATTTTACCATGACTTTTTAAAGAAGCGTTGTTCAAACTCTGTGTGTGTTGTAAACTGTTCAGCGTCCAATTTTACTACAAAATCACGTGATTTCTGCAGCTAATTACAACGAATAGCAATGGAAAATTCCGCTCGAATAAACCATTCGAAATGTGCTATGCTCTGAATTTGTCAAAATTTGCCTTGCCACGTGTTATGGCGGAACGCGTAACTACCCCTGTAGTTTTAACTAAACATTTTTTTAATGATACGTATTTCTCTCCCCTTTGAAACTAACATGGAAACAAAAAGGACACATAGACCTCTCGTTTCATGTTGGTTTTATGATGTTAGGCCAAGAACTAATAAAGTTAGGAGCTGAGAACGAGGAAAAACCTGGATTTTCACAGAAATCGCCACTCGCCTGGCGAGCTAGAAACCCCTATTTAAAAGTTCCACAAAACGATCCGAGTTCAAGATTATCCAGACTGGGATTCGAACCAGGGCCATCCGCTCCAGACCCCGGCCTGATGATATTAACTGAGCTAACTGGTGGAGCGCTCCTGTAATATAGATAAAAGAACTAGTGATGAGAGTGCTCAGAGGAAGTCAAAAGGATTTTAAATGCTGTTCAGTAGAAACCAATATGTTTGAAGTAATAGCTCAGTGAATACCGGGTACTTTTAATTTTTTGTTTTAAAAAAGAAATTTTTTCGTTTATTACTTTATTTCTTTTCCAGTTTACTGAAATGCAACCAGCGTCAAGAACCAGATCAGTTGAAGTGAATCCTCTATAAGTGGGCTGACTGTTGTCTTCTTGTGCTCATGAATGTATTTCCATGCAGCATTTGTTTTCATTCACATTTCATTTATTTTAGCCATGGCTAACGCTTTTTTGTAAATTTTTTTTTTTCAGCTCCATTGACTCATTTTAGATAATTTGTGGAGTTGGGCTGCTTCAACCGTGACTCTCAGTCAAGGCCAACCCAGGCAACATCCTGGCAGACAGACAGAGAACCTCGATAAAAACATAATCGCTCAGGTATTATTGAATTCACTGTTCTGCATTAAACAGCAAAGAACCTAAGCAGTACGTACAACAGGTGCCAGTCACAGTTTTGTGTAACTTGAGTAATTGATGTAAACTCTCAGTTCTTGAGAACTGTTCAGTTGAGAGATAAGTTTTTAGGTATTTTTTTTACATTTCAGATTTGGTCTTGTCTTGCTTTTTTGTGCAAGATGTGTCATACTACTTTCTGTTCCTCGGGTACAGTCTCGTGTTCTCTCTGGCCTTTTTTTGTCTAGATTTTATAATGAAATGGTCTTTTTATTTTTACCTGAGTGCCCTGTCAGCTCAGTTGATATTATGCCGGTCTACAGAAAGGGTGGGCCTGGTTCGAATCCCAGAGTGGACATTCTTGAACTCGGGTAATTTTGTTAGAGTTTTCAAGGCTCTTGGCTTAATTGGTCCTATTGGACGTGGATATTAAATTCGGAGGTCCTGCCTTTTAGATGACCTATTTGTGTTGACTGGGGTGTTAAACCCCCATACACTTATTATTTTTCATTCTATTCATTTGCTTTGTTTTCAATGAAAAAAATACCCATCTATCTTAAATAAAAGTTGAGATACATGATTTTGCTATTGCAGGAGATGGGGGTCGCTGGGTTTCAGTGGTAAAATTAACCTGAAAATGGGTGCCAAAATTTGGTAACTTCAATAGCTTGAGAGTCTTTGAAAATGGAAAAATTACATAGTTTGTGCTTTTAATAAAAGTTTTTAGTAAAACTCACATGAAAAAGTGTTTTATATGGACATATGAGGTTTTGAGCTTAAAAACAAAAATTCTATAAAAATCGCCAAACTGGTGGGAAAATTCCTGTTTCTTCGATTTCATTATGTTGACGAGCGCCTGATATTACCAAAGATGCCTCACATCTCATTGTTATCTCTTTTGCATTGCTTGTTTTTTTTTTAAAGGATGTTAGCAGATTCCTTTTGTCTGCTGAACTGTTTAGACTTTTGAAAGGGCTCTAAAAGAGATAAAATGTAAGTTAAAAATATGTGAGTATTTTAAGAGTCAACAAGTAGTCCTGCTTCTTTCAAAAGACTCCCAATATATTTTCCTGCTTCTTTAAAAAGACTCCCATTATATTTTCTGAATTAATTTGTCGTTACACTTTACATTGTCCTCTACTTCAATTTGTCATCAGGACTGGTAAAAGATTTGACAACTCCAACCAGATGTTCAAAGCACAGAAAAGTCCAGTCTCAGCTCAGGCACCTAGGTGGGTTACAATAGCTCAGGTTATCATTTTGTAATAACTAGTTTCTTGTAAGTTTGGGGCTCACCCCTGCAGGTGGGGGGGCCCGTAGTTTTACTATGGGGGAGCAAAGAATAACGCCTGCCGTTATACTAGGTGTCATTAGAGGCGACATTAGATGGTACGTAGGTCTGGTCTCCTGAAAAGTGCCAGTTTGCGGAGGGCCAACTACCGGACCCCCAAAAAACTAAAAGTTACAGAAACACGAACAAACAGACCTTAATATTTTTCCATTTTGGGAGACGGAGGAGTTTCTGCATCTGCAGGAACAATGAAGGACAGTGGGCAAGACCGAAAGGACTCTTCTAACCCGAAACCTTCTCTGTCGAACAAGCCTGATTGCGTTGTGGAATGTTTGCATCTTGTATGAAGTGTGAAAGAGTTCTCAAGTGGCACAAGAAATGAAGAGATACAGGCTGCGCATACTAGGAGTCAGTTTTGAGGCTCTGTTTTTCCCCACAAGAGGATTTGCAAGGCTATTTGGGTATCACCAGATAGAGTGACGGAGAACCAGATCAATCATTTTAGTATCTCTCATAGGTTCAGACGTTCACTGGAAGATGCCACAGTACAGAGAGGGGCAGACATTGGATCGGATCATCATCTGATGTTAGCAAAATTCAAGTTTCATTTAAAAAAGCATGGAACCAGAACAGGAACCAAAAGAACAAAGTTCCAATTAAGTCTCTTAGATGGACACAAGAAAGAGGAGTTTCAACCCTTACCTGATCTTGGTGAGGATGACATGGAGATGGAGATGCACTGGACCAAGGATTAGAAGAAAATTGAAAGCAGAGGCAAATGCAGATAGAACAAGAGGATCAAAAACGGACACGTTGGAGCAGTACAGGATAACAGCTAAAGATGTGAAGGGATAACTAAGAAAAGGCAAGGAGGAATTCATGAACAGGCTGACGGAGAGGGAAAAGGAGGCAGCAGCAGGAGGGCACACGTAAATGCTTTACCAGACTACACTCTCGCTGGAAAATATGGGAAACTAGAAGTAACAGTAATTAAGGACCAAGAGGGAAAACATTTTTGGAAAGGAATCTCAGTGGAAACCATGGGCAGAGCATTTCAATAGTTCCCTGGATAGACTACCACCAAGTTAACAGCCAAGCATCCTGCCAGCAAGAAATGAGTTACCAATCTGCTGTGATGGTCCATCAAAACAAGAAATTTTGGATGAGATTAAGAAGCTGAACGAAGGTAAAGCAGCTGGTCCTCTCAGTTGATCATAAAATTCCTTGACTTTGAGAAGGCCTTTAACAGTATAGGCCGAGAAACACTATGGAAGATACTGAGACCTCACGGAAGCCCACAGAAGTTGGTTAACCTCATCAAGAGCATTTACGAAGGGACAAGTTGCCGGATTATACATGATGGCCAGCTCACTGACTGCTTTGACATCAAGACTGGGGTGAGACAGGGATGTTTACTCTCACCTTTCCTCTTTATCGACTCGCAAATAAAGGAAACTACCAGAGGACACAGAAACGGCATATAGTGGACCCCATGGACACAGATGGACAATCTGGACTTTGAAGTTGACTTGGTGCTTCTGTTACACACCCAAGAATAGAAGCAATCAAAGACCACAATTTTAGATAGCCTAACACTACTATCAGAGTCTGTTGGATTGAGGATCCACCCTTGAAAGTCAAAAGTCTTAAGGATAGATGCACTACAAAAGAAATAGGTCACAATAGAGAGGGAAATGCACTAGAAGACGTCAAATCCTTCTGCTATCTTGGGAGCATACATGACAGAGAGGGAGGAATAGGCGCTGTATTAAAGTCCTGCATCAGAAAAGCACAGGCTGCTTTTATATCTTTGAATAGGATTTGGGGGATCAGGGATATCTCACTACGAACAAAGCGGAGGATCTTCAACTCAAATGTGAAGTCAGTCTTGTTGTATGGATGTGAGACATGGCACACGTCTCAGACTTGCATAAAGAGGATCCAGGTTTTTTTGAACAAATGTCTAAGGAAGTTACTGAGGATCAGATGGACAGAGAAAGGGTCACCAACGAGGAACTGTTTAGGAGAACAAGACAGAGCCTAGTCAGGGATGAGGTGGGAAGAAGGCGGTGGCGATGGATGCATAACATGGGAAGTGTTAGATTTGAACCCACAGTATAAAGGATCAAAGAGAAGACTGTTGTGGAAATCCGAGAAGAGTCACAGAAATAGATGTACAGAAAAGTGGGAAGACATGGAATAACATCAAGCGGCTAGCCCATGATAGGAAAAGGTGGAACATGTTTGTTTTGTGGCCTATATCCTGATCCAGGTTGAAAAAGGCAATGATGATGATAAAGGTTTTAGGCTCATTGGGCTGAAATGTTTTTAAATGATTGTGTTTTTAGGCAGCCTCCAAAAACACTCTGTGAGTTAGATTAACAGTGGAATGCAGTTCAGTCAATATTTTGTTGGACTGGTGTGACCACCCTGTTTCAATATTCAAATGGCATTATTGAATGTGGGTTATTTTTGGGTTGTTGGTTGTTGTTGTTTGTTTTTTTTTGGGGGGGGGGGTTCTTGGCTTTATGTCTATGTGGCTCAGTCTGTTCGGTAACTGATTTTGAATCAGTGATTTTACCTCTATTTTATACTATTGTCTTGGAAGTGGGTATTGACTTCTTACTGGTGGGTGGTTTGCGGGTGCTCTGGTGTGGTTTGCTTCTTCTTTCCTATCAAAACTATCGTCCTTATCTCTCCTTCTTTTTTGTGTTTGTTACTTCTTGTAACACCTCTTATCTACTCATATATGACCTTATTGTATTGCAAGTGCTGTAAAACTTTAACTTCTTACTGTACATAGCAATTAGTAAATAGTTTCTTAATTTGAACTTTTAACAAAAGGTGTGATCTTTTTGTGGATAACTTGAATGCAAGTTCATTTTACAGTAAAACGTTGGGTCATGCACCTCCTTAACATGTTGTAGGGCATTTGATTGGCGCTCTTGTGTGGTCGGCTTGTTCTACTTCAATTTCAGTCCTTTGTTTCTGTTGCTGTCCAAATCTGTCCTAGGAAAAACATGTCCGCTGTCACATTGTATACTATATTACTACAGTTTTATGACATTATTACAGTATTGTGCTGTTAACAAAAACACATTTTTAAAAACATTTCCAGGGCTCAATTGGACCTTCCAGGTAGTCTTCGTAAAGTGGATTCTTCTGCTAGTATTTGGAGTGGATCAACAGGCTCAAGGGGTATGTGTAAATTACTTCTTGGACTAATTTCTTTGGGTAGACCAAACCTATGCTGTTGTACTCTTTGAGTTTTTCCCTTGGTTGTGGGGCTTGTCTGTCAGTATAATATTTCATTGTTTCAGAAAATTTACTGTTTCTTTCTGAAAGCAGTTTGACAGAAGAGAACTGTACTTGTTTGCATTTGTTACTTGACAACATAAATATATAATAGATTTGCATAATACTGTTATTGGTCTTAATGGATTATTATTTTTTTGTGTGTCTCACATGCTTTTTTTTTGTGTGCTAAAGATTGAATTCGAATGACCTAGAATCTAGGCAAAACAAACTATTGATACATATGATAATGATGAATTCTGATCCTCCTATGATTTTTCTGATGTTCGCTTACACTAAAAAAGCACAGGAATTGTAATGTAATGTGTCGTTCAATTTTTAGCAGATTGTTCTGCTTGTAATCAAGTGGTTGTTTACATTTGACTTTGCACAGTGAGCATTGATGAGCAAGTTCCTGCAGTGTCCCACTTTGTTCATCAGCTTGAGAATGCTGTGAACATTAGGGTTGAAGATGATGAAGAGCCCGTCACAGTGCCATCATTTCTCTTGCGTGCAGTGCAACTTTACAACGAAAGACGTGCCCTAGGTCAGTCATTTTACTTGCAATGAAAGACGTGCTCGAGGTCAGTAACCTTACAATGAAAGACAAGCCCAAGGTCAGCGACCTTACAATGATAGATGAGCCCAAGGACAGTCACTTTATATTGAAAGATGTACCTTAAGTCGATGCTACTTTACAATGAAAGATATGCCCTACGCTATGTAAGTTACTTTAAACTTTACAATGAAGACATGAACTCTATTTGTGACTCTACAATGAAAAATGCACCCTTCATAAATATGAACTTGATGGGCATCTTTCTAAGGATTTCTGTAGTTGGACTTAAAGTTGAAAGATCATGAGTATGAATCTTGGCTTTTGACAAGAAAAATATTGTATTGTCAGCATGATCCTTTTCTTCATTTTCCTTTCAGTCAAAAGGGTTGGAAGATGTTGCTGAAAGTATATTTCTTATGACATGAACTGTCTCGTTATATACATTGTATGGGACAGAGACAAATGGTTATCTTGTATTGAAAGGGCATGCCAAGGAAGTTTTTTTGAAGCATTTCCAGCTTTTAAAGTTTACTTTACTATAAAGGTAACAGTTTTAGCTCCTATAACAGACTCAAATACACCAAGAATAGTCAGTCTGATTCTCGTTACCAGTGCACTAAATATATTGATTAGATATTTTTGTAGTGGAGGTTCATGTTCTGACAGTTGGATTATTATACTTAAAACTTAATGTTAAAAAAAAAAAATTAAAAATCCTGTCTTCCAAAAAATGTTATCCATTGTCCTAACAAGTAGTTTTTCAGTTTTTTGGGATGATTTGAGTCTATAATTATCATAGCTCTAACTCTGTGTTATTGATACACAGCGTATAAGTATGATGGAAAGTGGGAGGAATGGACTTACGGACAGTACTATCAAGAAGTTGTACATGCTGCTGAATCATTTATAATGGTAAGATTCTACATCGTACCTTCTAATACAGAAGGAATGTTGTTATTGTTAGATCAATGCAATTTATTATTATTATTATTATTATCATCATCACCATTTTATTATTTATTAGTGTTATTATTATTATTATTATTATTATTATTATTATTATTATTATTATGGTGATCATTATTATAATGATTGTGCAAGTGTGTAGTGGTGTGTACTTGTGTGGCAAAACTGCTGGGTATTTTTCTCTTAACCACGAATACTCTGATCTGGATTTGGGGTAAGGATCTGATTACTGAGATCCCTTTAAGCAAAGCTATTGATACAAGCATTGTTCAGCAAGTCTTGTTATGTATTCTCATGTGGCACACTGATTCTTATTTAGATCTTTCTGTGCGGATGCAGATCAAGTGTAATGCTTTGGGTCCTCTGGCTGAAGTATGGTGGTTTTTGATTGGGGGGGGGGGGGATAGAGAGTCAGTCTCTGGAACTTTGACTTTTTGTTAACATTTTTTCTGTTTACTTCTGAATTTAAAAGGACAAAAAAAACCCTCATTGTTATTAATACTATTATTAATAGGGATTAGTAAACTTTCATGTTACAGAGGCCTCTAACATTTCTTTACTTGAATTTGAACAGCGTCAGATATGAGTTATAGTCTTTGGACCCCTTTTGAAAATTCTACTACTGTTTGTACACTTAGCTGCCATTCAGTGCATAAAAAAACATTGCGATTTGAAGGTTTGTGTATAAAGGTCCATATTTGTGTTGGAAAATACATAATTATTCTGTTTTCTAGTATATTGCTACTCACTGACTTGCTAATATTGTAGATAAGTTATGAATTTTAAAGTTTGGAATTGCTAATACTATTGAGATCGAAGACGAATAGGTCAGTTTTAGTTGTGTCTGTTACCATAGGTAGCTATTGAGCATGTATTGATTGAAAGCAGAAAATATGTGTGAGGAGTTTGGAGGGGGTAGAGTCTGTTTTTTTGGTTTAGAAAAATTGGCAGCTATGTGCATTAAAAAAAATTCATCTACGCTTCATTAACAAACTTGAAACTCTAGCTCCTTTCCTATTGTCTTCAATTTCACAGCTTGGCTTGAATCCTCATGAGAGTGTGGGTATTGCCTGTTCCAACTCTCCCATGTACTTCATCAGTGCTCTTGCAGCTGTTTTTGCAGGGTACACTGCTGTGTTTTAACATTTGCATATTCTGATGCTTTTATCTGCCTTTTTTTTCTGTAATTCCCCAAAAATAAATGTTTTTATATTTTGAATAACCTTTATAACATTTTCAGAATCTTAATTTAATGATCAAAGTAAGGTACCGTGCATTGCTTTATTAACTTTTGTTGTTGTTGTAAGTACAAAAGGCGAACCTAGAGGATTGACTGTGAGAATATTTTTGAGAATCTTGTTAATTTGCTGATCGAAATAGGTTACATTGCTTTTAATTTTAGCTTTTGTTATAAAAACAGAAGACAAAATCCCCTTAGTTAAGTAATGAACATCTTTTTTATTGGCGAAATAACACACTCCAACCCAACAGAGAATTTTCATGAACTTGTTCATCAGTTTGTGATCCCAAAGATAGAATAATGTCAGCTACTATTTATATCACTGTTCTATCACTGTTTTTCATGCACAGTACACTTTGACTACATGCCTCAATAAGATAAACAATTGTTCTTGGTAACCATATTTCTTCTTCAGAAAAATTGCCATACCATTTCAGAGGTTTTATTGTCCTTGAGTCTTTTGAACCTTACTTCATCCTTCAGATATTAGTATAATCTACCAAAGCGGAAAGGATAACTTTGGGCAGCTGCAATGAGAAAAGTATTTCTATTTCAAGATACAGAAGTATTGTTTAGATAGAATAATGCCAGCTGCTATTCATATCCAGGGCTTTAAATAGACCGCGGCACCGCGGCAATTTGCCTTGGTGCCTTTGCGATTTGTCGTAATGCCCTAAAAATCAAAGGGTCAACCGCGGCAATTTTTGCCGTGCCCTTGTATTTTTGTTTTTAAAAAATGTGTCACCATGAAAATAAATCAGTATTTATCATGTGCTGTTACTTGTGGGAAAAAAAAAGAAAAGAATGTTATACAAGCGTCTTGTCGGATTCGCCACCGTGGCAGGTCAGTGAACCTGCGCGTACACAACTTAATCACAAGATATGGCATCGTGTGAGCACCAGTTGTTGGGGGCACCAAAGTTCATTCAGAGTCTGAACACCGCGAAGTATATGGGACTCCTAAATGGGGGGAATTATTGATTTTTTTATTTTTAAGATACACTCATGGGAGGGCGGGGTGTGTGGAGAAATCCTGTTAGACTTGTTTGAAATCGCATCAAAGCTTCAGTCAGACACTGTTCAGCTTGACAATTGTGTCCATTTTGTCATGGCTAGTACAAACACACTCACACTAACACCAATGATAACCAAACCTCAGCAGTGTCTGAAAAAAGCTCTGGGTGAAAAAGAAGACTGCAGATGTGAGAGATGTGACAAGAGATGCGTCTCACAAACAGACGTCCTGATAAAACAGCACTATTCTCTGAAATCATCTTCTCTGGGGACACTTTTTAAAATCACTTGTTTTTTTCCCCCATAAGGGACAAACAGTAAGCCAGTCTTTTTCTATATTGTCTGATCTAGTCATAAGTCATAATATGACATGCTGATTGTTTAGAGGTCTTAAAAAAAAAATAACATACATGTATTTTAAAACTTGTATTTTCAAAACTTGTTTTCATTTATCATAGTCAGAACCTCACTCTGTTTAACTGCTTTACAGCAGTTTTTAGTCATTCATTCTTTTTTTTTCATATAAGTTCATACCTTGTTTTCACTCCTCATTTTTTCTTTTTCATACAAGTTCAAAATTTGTTTTTATTTACCATGATTTGTTTTTATTTTATCACTACACTGCCTGTAAATCACTCTGTTTGAATCTCAAAAGATTAATGGCTTACCTAATTGGTCATGTTATTTACTGTTTTCTATTGTGCCCTATTGTCAACAGTCATATTCATTCATATTAATCCAATCAGTAAGAGCTAGAATCTAGTCAAAAAGGCATTTAGAAGTCAGATGCAATCATGATCATTATTTGATTTAAAACTGTGATTTTTAGTGATTTTGTATTGATGTGATTTTACTGTGATTTACTTAGTTTTCATTCATGATTTAAAAAAATTTCTGATAACTCTATACTTTTGTAGAGAGCAAGAATAAATTATATTGTTATCTATATAAACATTGTGATGCACGATCCTGCATTACACACTTTAAACTTTAATCAACAAAACGATCACCAATAATTTTTGCCTTTGGTGCCCTAGCAAATTGCCTCGGTGCCCTCTGATTTTTAGGCCTCACCGAGGCAACTTTTGCCTGCCCTTCTGAACACCTAATTCAAGCCCTGCATATCACTGTTCCAACTACACTAGGAAAGGTTCTAGTCTTATTTATGGTCATGCGTGGTGGCTTTTATTGAGAAATTTTTACATGGCTTAATGTTCCTTGGCCCAGATTACAATACAGGTTACCATTTTCAATTTTGTTGTTGCTTTGTGGTTTAAGTTAACTTATTTCATTTTGCTATGGAATAGTCTGTTATATGCAACTTCCCATCTACGCAGTTCTAATGAGAATAAATGAAATAAAACAGCATGGGTCTTCAAGATCAATACTCTGGTTATTAAAAATCATAAATGACTTGTCTGTAGATTCACAATTAGAGGCTGGGCAGTGACAGACTAATGGACGGACGGATTGACAGACAGACATGTGTTGATTGTATTGGTGTAATACCTTGTTTGTATACCGTATGCAGTCGAACCTGCTCTCTCGGCCACTTGTTTGTGACAATCTTATTTGCAAACAGCCACTTCCCATTTCCCCCCTTGCGTTATTTGTACACTATAATGACACATGTGAGATGGCCACCTGTCTCAGACGGCCACTTTTCTCCTCGACAATGGGTCGCCATCTTTGACAATTTCAGTTGTATTTCTCATTGTTAAAGTTGGTGAAAGTGAAAATACGCACTGTATATTTGTAGTTTTCAGAATTTCTTTTAATGTCCAGGGGCATATTTGTTGGGATCACATGTACGAATGTGAAGAACATCCTACTGCACATGCTGAGGGAATGCAAGGTCAACATCATGGTGGTGGACTCTCACAAAAATATCAATCAGGTGATGTAGATAAGTTGTTGTTTCGCAGTATATTCTAGCCTCTGGTTTGTCTCTTCCTCCCATTTCTTTTGTACTGTTACTGTGATGGGTTTTTTTCTCCAAAGTTCTGCCTGATGCCTAGATGCTCTTATGGCGTCAAGGACACATATAGCATAATGCTGGTCTGCTGTTAAAAAGGATTTATATATATATATATAGTCTAAAATTTTTAACTTTATAAAAGAATTTCAGTTTCCTCATCTGTGGTATCTGTTGCATGTGCTCGAGGAAATGTTTTGTCGAAATTCAAGTTCTAAATGTAGAAAAAAGAAAAGCAAGAACAAATACATAATGTAGGTACAATTGTTTAAAAAATGAGTCTTTTCTCTCTCTTGTAAAGTTTTGCTTTCTGGGCTAAGTACATTTGTGTCGCAATGCAGCGGAATCAGGTGCTCATCAATTTTTGGGCCTATGGAGTTTTTTATTTTGATCTTTAAGCTTGTTCATTTTTTCTTGCTGTTGATGAAAATAAAATACACTTCTATCTTGAATAGAAGTAGAGATATTTGCCATTGAAGGAGATGGGGTCACCTGGTGTCAGACCATGGTGAATTTTCAACAGGATGTCTAAAAATGTTGTCTAGTTTCCCGGGTTGCTTTCTGACCTTTTGTGTTGAAGACATACGATAAATCAAGGTTGCCTTCTGTTTAACAATCTGTATTACATTCACAATATTTCTCTTAGCTACTTTTCTTTTCCAGCTACATCATTATACTTATTTCTATGTTTTTAGAACCTATGTAGCTTTGTCCTGCACCTCTCTTTTTACTTATCACTCACTTAGTTTGTCAGGCTATTAGTGTATTTCCTGTCTCTCGTTGTCTTATTTAAATATTTTGATCTGGCAGGTGTATTGTCATGTTTGTTTTGTTAAATTTGTAATTCATGAAATATGGAAATGTAGATGAAATACAGAAATTCTTCAAGAAATGGTACTGGATATTGAGAGTGAGGCAGACTATTTAGGTAAAAGCGGTTCTCAAACTGGTGTTAAAAGTTAGGTCGGCAAAGATTTTTCATTCTGATGGTAGGGACCAATATTATATATTGGCACATGCAGGTTGATGGGATTTTAAAGGGTACATTGTGGTTCAAGTGGAGGATGTGGCAGATAATGATAGAACATTCTAGCTGCGTTTGGTTACCATGGGCTTAAAACGTAATATCTTGTCATGTCATGATTTCCTCACTTGTCAAAGCAGTATAATTATGTAAAAGTACTTTTAATTTCCAGGTATGTTGCTAAGTAGGAATCTTCAGTATCTAGATCTCAGTAATAGAATAATAGCTTTTATAAGTGTCCATCCTAAATTCCACAATATTTGGTGCATCAGACGAGACAAATGCCTTTGACATATTATGTTTTTCCAGATCCTTGATATTTGGAGTGACTTACCGTCTTTGAAAGCTATCGTGAATGCTGATGTTTGCGCAAACCTCTACCACACCAACCCAAGAATTTACCTCGTATGTTTTCAAAGTGTATCAACCTTTGAACATTTTGTGATTTCTTTTGGTATGGTACTTTATGATCTGTAGTGTTGGGTTTCATCAGGCTGGTAGCTGTGATTAAATGGCAAATGGGGTGTACTTAAATGAGTGGTAGTTTTGGAGAAAAAAGTTCTGAAGACTTGAGGTAGGATTTTGTAATGATTTAGATTAAAGCATTTCTTTTAGTGCAGACAAAAAAAAACCGTCTGTTTTGTCTGCCCCTGAGTTTGTGTTGCATGTTTTCACATATGTACTGTTGATGAACTTTTTGGTAGTATGTTATCTGTGTTGTGTGGTTTGGGATAGTGGTACCAATATATGGAAGAAAAAGGGCAGCAAGAAAGACTGTAACACCTACAGAGGCATATCTCTTTTCAGCCATGTGGGGGAAAAATATGCAAAGATCCTAGAGCAACGCACTCGCGCAAAAGCCGATCATCTTCTCAGTGATGCCCATTTTAGTTTAGAAAAGGAAGAGGGTGCACTGATGCAATCTTTTCACTCTGACAACTGTGTGAGAGGACTGAAATAGGAACAAGATCTCCATCTCGTATTTGTGGATCAGGAAAATCCTTTGATCGAGTAAATAGAAATAAGCTATGGAAGATCCTTGAGCAGTACGACATCAAGGGACAACTGCTAGAAAACACCAGGGTTATCTATGCCAACAGCAGAAGCGCAGTCCGCACTACCAGTGGAACATCAGACTGGTTTCCAGTAACATCCGGAGTCAGGCAGGGCTGCAATCTCTTTCCTCTGCTCTTCGTGATCTACATGGACCAGATTACTAAGGAGGCCTATCCAGACTCAGAGGCACTCAACAAACTCATATTCGCAGACGACCTGGCAATGATGAACAACAAGACTCAAGTACAGGAGCATAATATGAACCAACTAAACCATAGCTGCAAGAAATATGACATGAAGATCAGTGTGAGCAAGACCGAGGTTATGACAGTTAGCAAGAGACCAGACAAAGTGGATATCAACATCAATGGATCCCTACTAAATAAAACAAAGCAGCGAATTCAAATACTTGGCAGCATTTTCACTGACAATGAAAAATTAGATCGAGAAATAGAGACTAGATGCCAGAAAGCCAATGCTGTCAGTTATCAACTCGGCCCTCTCCTGAAATATACCAATATCCCCATGAGCACCAAGGCGAAACTCATCAACGCCATTTTCCTACCAACACTCACATATCAGTGCCAGACATGGTCTCTAACAAAAGCCCTAGAGAGGAAGCTGGTCACATGCGAGATGAAATGTTTAAGGAGAGCGACTGACGAGACAAGAAGAGACAATAAAAAATGAAATCATAAGTGACACAGTAGGAGCAACGCCAGTCCTACCACACATTGGAAAACAAAAGATCAAGTGGTTCGGACACCTCACACGGATGCCCCCAAACCAACCAGCCCTGAGGGCATATAACATCAAATATTCTGGCTGGTGAGCAAAAGAAGACCGAGGCGACGTTGGAGTGAATCTGTTGCAGACACCCTCACAGCTGACGGGATGTGCCTCCTACAGGCCACTCGCCTTGCTTCAGACAGACGCCTGTGTCTCCCAGCGACACCCACTGGCACAAGCGGAAGAATAAAAGAAAAAAGTGGTTTGGGTTAACTTTTCAAAGTAGAATACGTAATATGGCTATGTATAATTTTTCTTAACCTTATTTTCGTCATCATGAACCCACTTATGTGTTTGAGCTCATTGCAGGGGCTCTTGAGGTCTAGAGGTGTTCCCCTCTCATTCAATAGGTCCAGGGTTTGAATCCAGATTGCGACGGAAAAGTTTGTTGTCAAAAATTTTTTTCTTTCCCATCGTTTCTTGCTCTCTAACCATGTTCTGTTATCTGCGTTCGTGTCCACTTTCTGCCCCCACCCGCTCACCTCATTTGCCCGGTTGTCTGGGCCCCTGATTCTTTCTGCAGCCTTTCTACTGCTACTCCTTTGCTTCTACTTACTGCTGTCTTTCAGTCACACCCCTGGGCAAAGTTAAAAATTTCCTACCAACTGAAAATGTTTAACGTGTCCCGACTGCTCATATGACCTTATGCAGTTGCGAGCGCCGTAAAACACTCCCCCCCCCCCAAAAAAAAAGCTCATTTCTCATTTTCTGTAAAAAGCCCATTTGGAAGTTTTAGACAGTGATTGTGCTCAGGATTGGCAAGTACAATGTTTTAGTGTTTCCTTTGCATATTATAATCATAGTAGGTCAATTTTTTTTTCTAATGCAGCTGTTGGATATATCACTTGGCGTGTTGATGGCTATGAAAAGGAGTATTTGTCTTTCTGGTCTGATTAATTAATAGCTTCTATATACGGTGTAGTTTATAAATAAATTGACTTTTGCTCTGGGGCTTACTTTCAGTCCATATATATATATATATATATATATATATATATATATATATATATATATATATATATATATATATATATATATATATATATATATATATATATATATATATATATATATATATATGGTATCTTCTGGCCCACTTTATACTGTAATGTGACTATCATGTGAAAGCTCTGGTAGTACTTTGAGACCATTCAATCGTGCTTTAAGCACATGGTATTGTATTCATTTCAGTGGAGGGATTTTCTGAAGCTGGGATTAGAGCTGCCGTCTGCCAAACTGTCTCACCGTCTCAACATGCTGGCTCCAAACCGATGCTGTGCTGTTTTTTATCCAGTGAGTTTGTACTGTAAAAAAGATTCTAAATTTCTTTGCTATTTTCTGTAAATGTATTTGTTTATGAAGTGTAAGAATTCACTAGTTAACAAAGGTTATAAAATGAAACGGACTAGTTGCAGGAGAAGTTTTCTTGTGTCAAAGAAAAGAATCGTTCAATAGATTATTGACCTTATGCAAAACCCCATAGCTCAAAAATGTATCGACAAAGGGAGTTACCCTGGTTGTGGTCTTGCCAGATGTAATAATTACTATCGCATACTCTGTTAGCTCTGACATTCCTGCAAGTGTTGTGTGTTTAGAATAAATTATGTCTGCTGCACCAGCAGACTTCTTATCCACCTCCCCGGGCGGTACCACTGACTGAAGTGTCTTTAGGCCATTCCCAACGGGGGACATTTCTCCTTCTTATGCACTGTAGAATTGTAAATGGGATGATTCAATGTCATGCTCACTACTGTGCCTGAAGTACAACAGGGAACTGCTGCTTTTTCTTTCCTAATCCTTACTATCGTCATTTTCCTCTACTTCTTTTGTATGTTTGTCACACTCTTGTGACCTGCTATTTCCGGGGTGCCTTGAAAGTCGAAACAGACTTTGTGCTGTTGAAGCTAGAGAGGTGAGCAGAGTAAGCCCGATTCCCTATAAGGACTTCTCTGTTGACATCTACCCTTTGGCGCTGATATGATCTTATGCAGTTGTGAGCTCTCTAAAACCTCTACTATAACAAAAAGACTTCTTATCAACCATTTTTAAAAATCAACTCCCTATTGTCACTGTGACTCTAGCTTTTTGAGCAGCTTAGCAAAACATCATTTCTTATTTGTTTTAAGCTCAATGAAGTTTCAGAGCAGGCTTATTATTGACCTCCCACCAGGGCAGTGCTGCTGACTAAAGTTGTCTTTAGGCCATTCCCAAAAGGGGGATATTATCCATGTTCTTATGCACAGTAGAATTGTAAATGGGCTGACTTATCAATGTCATGCTCATACTGTGTTGGAACAATAAAGGGGGAACTGCCCGCTTTTTTCTTTCCTCTACTTCTTTTGTATATTTGTCACTCTTTTGTGAACTGCTATTTCTGGGGTGCCTTGGTAGTCGAAGCAGAGTTTGTGCTGTCGAGGCTAGAGAGGTGAACAGAGTAAGCCTGATTCCCCATTTTGACTTCTTTGTTGACATCCACCCCTTGGCGCTCATATGACCTTTTGAAGTTGCGAGGGCAGTAAAACCTTACAAAAACTTTTAAAAAAAGCATATTATGCTTTTCGCTGTCTTTGCTGGTTTATATACAGTAGTGATAGAAATGTGTGTCTCTTAATTCAACTCATTTGCTGGATGTTTTGTTTTATGCAGTGTTTTTCACTAACAAATTTACTGCTAGTTACTGCAGTCGTCACAATGGAAGCTGTAGTGTGATAACAAGGTGTTTGTTGTTGCAGGCTAAATATGTGAGTTCAATTCCTGCATGGGGCAACTATTTTATCAAGTAGTTCTGTCTTTCTGTCTTTCTTAATTATGTCAGTTGGAGTGTAGAACATTGAAATCGAAGTGTACTCAATGTAGAGAATATATGCTTAAAGAGCAGAGATGGCTGCCTTGGCTTCTTCCTCAATGGATCTCCAAAGTATGCTTCAGGGCCTTGAGTTTTATTTTCACTTTTTGATGCAAGGTTTTCCTAGGTCACTCTCTCCTGCATTTTCTCCAAGAGGTCTACTAAAAAGCTGTCTTGGTTATAAGTTATTCTCTGTTAGACTCGTTAAATAGCCTTACTGCTCCTGAAGTGAAGTAACACCCTTATCTACCTGACCCTATCTGAACCTACCAAAACATCCAGTGGTTACTATGTTGTGTTCCTTTTATAATTTTGGCAATCTGAATGTACTTTCATAGTTTATTACCTCAGATTTTGTAAAGGAGAACAGCTGGAGTTTATTGCACTAACACTACCTTTTTAAATTCTTTTTTTTTTGGGGGGGGGGGGCTGTTAAACCAGTGGTTTGTACTGTAGTTTCTGTCTAAGGTCACCGTGCTTGGGAGCAAGGAAAATGCAGAATCTTAGCTGAATGGGATCTTAACTGATGCTTCAAGAGGAGAATTTATGGTGACTCTTGTTAAGGCCTACATTCAGTGAAATGGTCTCACCTTTACCTGTCCAAAATTTATGGTTTTCCATTTCTGACAGAGTTCCTTTCTTTTGTCATAACGTACCATTGTGTTGTGACAGCTCCAATTAAAATTCAGTTTGTCCAGCAAATTTGCATGAAGAGACAACTGCTGGAATGGTCAGGGAAACAAGCATAGAAGCGTTCACAGTTCGATGTGATTCTGCCTGATGCTGATGTATAGGCCTTACCTACTCGGCTTGTATCGTAAGTTCAGGTGGAGAACTCAGATGCAAGTACAATCTTTGGGGAAAATGAAAGCGTCAAGTTCACATCTCAGTGTGATCCTGTATGGGGCAAACATCCCGTTTCATCAAGATTTACAACAGGTCCGAGATCATATTCAGAAGTGGCTGATCTGTGATGCATTGACTGAACATTTTCACTGTGTCCACCCAAGTGTTTGTTTCGTAAGCTATTATCTGACATGCAGGATCTTAACTGAATGTAATCCTATAGATCGGGATCTTAGGGTTGGATTTTATGTGGTAAAAATTATGTTTTTTTAAAACAGCGGGATCTGAAGTGATCCAGGATCGAAAGTGGTGGGATCTTAGGTGGAGACTACTGTATAATAATTTTTTAAACCCAGAATGACAATATCAAACACTATGAGTATGAGAGAAAGGAACAGAGTACGGTATTTTGCCTGAGAATAGAACATATACAGCTCAACTTCCACTTGAACAGAATAAAACTAAAACGTTCCCCAATGTGTCCTTTGTGTGACTACACATTTCAGACTCACCTGTTTCACTGTACAGCCTTAAATGACACCAGAGCTGAGTTTCTTCCTCCAAGACCTAACATTGACAAAACACTCTGAGCCACTGTGGCTAACCTGCACTTATAATAAATTGGCATTGGACTGAAGGGTTAGAGCCCAACTTGCTGGATTAATAATAACAATAGCAAGATAATTATTTTTTGTTTTGTCCCCGCAGTTTGTCAACCATGACACAACATTTTTACCGAATGGAGTGATGGTCAGTCATGATAATGTGAGTACTGCATATTGTGCAGCAGATTTGTTGAAGTACACAGATAGAAGATATGTTGAGCATTTGATATTTTATCTAACAAGGTTTCATTCTTGTCTTGCACTGAGCACTAAGGTATAAAATATATTATTATCGTTTTCTGTGTTGGATTGCGTATCAGTCTAAAAATAACCCGTGTCTTCAAATGTTCTGATACTAATAGCTCTTTTACAGGCATCTGTTATATTATGCGGTTCTGCTTCTGACTTTATGTGACCCTGAAACTGATAAGCATAATGCTTTACCTCCACACATATAAAGCCACAACTGTAAACTATTCTGATTACATACTTGTTTATGAGTAACTGTGAGAAGCCATCCAGTGATTAAGGGTGTCGAGAATGTGACCTGCAATTCCTTTTATTGAGGCAGCAAAGGATGCCAATACTGATGTGGAGGACATTGTTAAATGGAGAGAAAACTGTACTCAAAAACTGGAATCAGGATCTTTTCAGGTTTATGGTTTATGAAAAACCAGTAAGTGTTTGAATTACCTTCATATTCCGTTTACAAATATATGAGGGTTTTAATTGCACAATCTGCATGTGTTAAAGATGGTGTGCAGATGGAATTCCATGAGTATCAGAGTGGCTTTTCTAGTGCTACTTAGTATATGAGTGGCATCATGGTGAATTCAGGTACTTGTCAAAATAATTAATTTGAAGAAACCAACATTTTCCCGCCCGTTGGCGCAACTTTTATCAACGCGTTTTATGGTAATTTACTATCACATTTCTATGTGGATTTTTCTGAAAAAAGTTGATCAAGGGCACAAAAAGTGTAAATTTGCAGTTTTCAAGGACACTCAAGCTTTGGGAGTCGCCAAACTTTGGCGGCCATTTCCTCGCTAACTTTACCATAGACATCAGGCGACCTTCACCTCTTTCAATCGCAAATATCTCAACTTTTATTTAGGGTAGATGAGTATTTTTTTTTCAACTAAAGCAAGACAGATAAATAAGCTTTATGGTCATTCCAATAACTTCTTATGCCCAACAATTGGCAAGCAGCTGATTCCACGATGCTGTTACATGTACACATTAAAACAAAAAGATCTCTTGCTCTCTGGATATCCTAGCTGCAAATGGACAGAAACTGTCTAATATTTTTCTCTAGAATTATCAATAGACCAGAAAAACAGGACATGATTAATACCTTAAGGGAAACCTCATTTATAGTGATGTGTCCTGTAGCACTGTGCACTTAACCTAGCTGGTTTCAAAAGCATGAGGATACTACTCTGTTGCTGTGGCCAAGTTATAGGGTCCTATTATTTAAGCTGTGTCAAAGTCTTTGTTCAGGCCACAACCCAGTGACTACCTGTCAAGAACTGTCAAAATGCTATCTCTTGGTCTTTTTTGTAAACCTGGGTCCACTGGCTATTCGACCACTGAAGTCTTGGAAATACCCAGAGCTTAAAGCCTAATGTCAGAAGATTATTTACTCTATTCCGTATCTATAATTTTGCTTGTTGGTCTATGTAATCAATAGTGTCTCACCTTAAAAGACGATGTACTTTAGTTGTAGAGAGTAGTTGACATTGCTAAAGAAGAGATGCAGAACTACTTTTATTGTGTAATAGAGTACTGTTTAATTGATCTGGGATCATGCTCAGTTGTTGAATGGCTGAAAAGCTAGGACAAATGCATCAGAGACAATTATGGAAATGCTATTTAAAATGGGAAATGACCTGTGAAATCCCTCATCCACTTTCGCTCAATAAGTAATTATCGCTGTGAATGTCTCATGCCCCACTTGATGTAATTTTGTTCCTCTAGGACTGACTGCTTTGACCCTGCCTTTTAGCTCTACAGAGTTTTGGTGAGATACATGATACATCCTGAAAGAAAGACGGAGATATTCACTGTAGTGTCGTCTTGATTCGAAAATCAAAGTTACTTTTCTTGTAGACCAGGCAAAGCAATCTGACATTTTCTCCTCAAACACAGATTATGTTTCTCCAAACATTTGTACCTATATGGACTGGTAAAGTATTTGCCAACAGTACTTTACTGTGCAGAGTTACCTTCTAAGGCCTTTTTAGACAAGTCTCTCCCTTCAGCTACACAATATTAAAAATGTGGTCAGTTTTGGATGGGATTCATTCCAACTCCATTGCAGAGTAACTTATGCTTCATTTGCTCCTGATCAGGTCTCAAAATGTATTAAAAGTCTGTTTTAAGTTTTGACAAGCCATTTAAAGGTTATGTTAAAGCATAGTTTCTTTAAAAATAAGTTTTCCATTTTTCTAGACTGGCCAGGTTTCTGTTCTTATTGCACCTTTTATACTTGTTTGCAAGTTCTTGGGCACTTTAAGAGAAGCCGGATATTTTTAAAACATTTTTGAACAGCACAAATGAAAAGAGTGGGTGCTTGGCGGGTGCTCTGGTGTGGTTTGCTTTTTCTTTCCTATGAAACATCTATTGTCTTTATCTCCCCTTCTTCTTTTTTTATGTTTGTTACTCTTTTGTAACACCTCTAATCTTCTGGCGCTCATATGACCTTATGCAGTTGCGAGCGCCCTAAAACCTCTACTAAAAAAAAAGAAGAAAAAAGAAAAAAGAAAAGAGCAGGTCTAAATAGTAAGCCCGTTCACAATGTTGTTCTTTTCTCCTTTCAGTTGACATACATGGCTCAACTGCTGGTACGGAAATTCATTAGTGAGTACCCTGACCTGGACACACTCAATGAGTTCCGCCTGATGAGCTACCTCAGTTTGAATAGTCCCTTTGCTCTCATTCTTGAGATGCTAGTTCCCATTTCCTTGGGTGGCCTGGTGAGCTTTGCTGATCAAAATGCTCTGAAGGTGGGAATGATTTAAGTATAAAGAAGAATTAGTGCTTATTAATAGTTGCATATCCCCAATAAAGGCTTACATAGCTTCACAATTGCTCTCTTTAAAAAAAAAATCTTTTCATTCTCCTAGATGCACAGCATTGCAGTTTGTCAGCCATCCACTATTGGTAGCGTCTCCACTAAATGCAAAGTACCATTGGCTACATTTCTTAACGACACAGCATTGCCTTAACTGCTTGTCTTGGACACCCGTAGTACGTGTAGAGTGTACACAAAATCAGTATGTAGTTCAAGTTTTTCTTTTTACAAGAAACTCCTGGTTATGTTTTTTTGTCTTTAATGACATGAAATTATGCTTTAGCTATTTTGTTATGTAATGAACTTAGCCATTACAAAGTCTGCTTCCTCTTCTTCTTCTCGATCGCGTAACACTTGAAGTCTGATACCTGTCATATCTCTGGATACGATTTTACTAGAATTGATGAAATGTATAACACCACACGTATAAAAAAGATAAAAAGCATTATAAACGACCCATCACACCCCTTTTCCATATAAATTGTAAGATCGAGCAGTGGCAGATATGTACCTCCAAAAACAAAGGTAGAAAGATATAAAAGAAATTTTTTACCTCTAGCATAGGGCTATTGTCAGAATGAGCATAGATGTGTGTTGCTCTTTTATGTATCTATATAACTCCAAAGGTCTTGTAATTAAATTGCTGCATGTGGTTGAATGATGCTTTTGATGTGAATGTACATTATGTCAGCTTTACTTCTCTTTTCATATTGAATTTTAATGAGAGTAATGTGTAATTTAAATTTTTAATGTATACCTTTATGTGTTTTTACGGTCCCGTACAGCCAAAAAAAATTTCCCTCTGGGATAATAAAGTATTATCTTATCTCATATTGGGTGCTGCTCAGTTCATCTGTTGGCCTGTATAGCTTCTTTTGTAGTGTCAGTGTGGTTTGCCACATTTCCTGTCTCAGGGCCGTGTGTGTCTTGCAGTGCTGAAGGATGTGTTCCACAGTTTGGTCCGCCTCTCCACACTGGCATTTTGGTGATTGTAATAGTTTTAAATATATGTACACAATATGTTGTCTCAGTCTTGTGTGTTGTGTTCTTAGTCGGAAGATAATCGTGTTCTTAGTCATAAGATAATCACTTGTTCTTGGCTGGGACAGCTCATGGTAGCCATCTGGTGTCTGGTGCTTTAAATTGTGTATTTATATAGTAGTTTTTATTTCTGTGTAGTTAACGCTGTTGTCTGGTTGCCCTTTCCGTGCGCCTAGAATGGCCATCCTGTCTGCCTGTTCATTTCCTAAAACACCACAGTGTGATGGAATTTACTTCAGCATAATCCTCAGACATGAGATGACCTAAATTACTTCTCGCAGCCTTGGTAGTTTACTGGCTATGATTGCCTGCAGTACTCTGCAGTAAGCTGGCAAAACGCCTTTTTTTTCTTCACAGCTATTTCGAGAGAGAGAGTTTTTCTGTCTGCCTAACCATTAATAAATAAAGTAATTCCGAAATTTGAATTCTAATTTATTTAAATAACTTGTCGCAGATTCACTTAAATTTTTTCACACAAGTAGGGTAACTGACTTTTAATTAAGCAAATAAAACAAATTTGCGCCAAAATAAAAAAAAGGCGTTTTGTCACCTTATGGTAGTACTTACATTGCATTTGCTAAGAATACTACTTGGCTTTGGGGGTCTGTCACATCCCTGATTTTGCATGTGGTAGAGCGTACAAAGTGTGCTGCATTTATTTGTTTCTGCCTGTGTTAGGTCAGCTTACAGTCGTAAACAAATATTACTCAAGTTGCTTTCTCTCTTCTAGTTTTGGTTTATGCGAAAAGGTCTACAAGGTCTACATTTTATGCCCCCTATGAAATTGTGTTTTGGGGCAAGCTACTCTTAACTGTCCCCATGGTTTTATGGACCCTGCATAATTTAGCAAAATTTGATCTTTTTTTCATAATTTCTGATTATTATCCTTTGTCATTCTTTTAAAAAATTAACAGAATTGCATAGTTTCACATTTTGAGGCTCAGTTTGCATAATTTCAGAAATTTTCTTGCAAAAAAAGACGGGGACAGTCTTAAGAATGCAGACAAGTTGTTCTGGAAGCTTTAGAGAAGGTAGATTCTAGATAACACTTCATTTCAAAGGAGTTTGGATGGCATCAGTTCCCTCACTTTCCTTTTCTAAAATTCAGGAAAGATTGAATGCTCCCATTACTTTTTTTTTAGAACAACAGCTTTTATCCAGCTTTATATACTCGTTCATCTCTAAATGGACATCACAGTCTTTATATAGTGTTGAGGCTGCTGTTCTTTGCAGATCTTCCAGGCTCCAATAGAGTTTTGGGTCTTTCTGCCAAGGGTTGGTCCAATATTTCCTTATAAATGCCTAGAGTATTGGGATCCAGCTTTATGAAAATTATTAAAGTGAGGAGACCAGTCAAGAATCTTCTACCTTGAACACAAGTCCACCAAAAATTTTCCTTGAGTCACATCAAACTGTAACAAACTTCTTGAGTTCTGAGCAACCTCCATCATGAAACAGTTGACTGTCAGCTTCTCTTCTCGAACAAGTGCTAGTTCTGAAAGTCCTTTTCCCCATCACCACCATCTATATTCAACTCCATCCTCAGAACAACAAAAAATCTAGAGTAGAAATGAAGTCTGTCTGAGGTGGCTTTTACTGGATTGACAAAAATGACAAGGACAATTAAAACATAATGTCAATTGTGAGGCATTGTGGTGAAATAAGCCGCTCATTAAAATAAGCAAATCAAAGTACATGTAACCAACATTTTTTAATTGCCAGGGAAATTTTTTTCAATTTTTGTTTTGTTTGGTTCAACACCTTTTATTTCCATTAAAAACACATCTGTGTGGATTTTACTGAAAAATGTGGATCAAAGGCACAAACATGTAAATTTACAGTTTCCAAGGACACTCGGGCATTGGAAGTTACCAAACTCTCGCGGCCATTTTCTCACTCATTTTTCTTCTTCTAACACCAGGCAACCCAAACCTCCTTCGACTGATATTTCTACTACTATTCAAGATAGATGTATATTTTTTTAGTTTTAAGTAAGACAAATAAACAAGCTTTAAGTAAGATGGTATCTATAACTTTATATTCCCAAAAATTGATGAGTGCCTGATTCCACCACGTTGTGACACATCAATTCTTTTTTGGGGGGGGTCATTCTAATTAGCTTTTGGTCATCTTGCCAGATTTGAATATTTGTTTCTAGGATGTAAATACGGGAACTTGTGATTTGTCTCAGGGAACTCTGGCGCTCACCCTGAGGGAGGTTAAGCCTCATGTTTTCTGTGGTACCGTATTCGTGTGGGCTTTGCTTCAGAAAAGGTTGTTCAAACGTATCAGGCAGATGAGCTGTTTTCGAGGACAGCTTCTTCTTTTGGCTCGGAATAAGTCTTTGCAGAGTTTTTACCGCCGGCTTGTCAAGTGAGTATCAGATGAAGGCAGAAATACTTGACTATCAACATATTTTGAAAGTTCTTGATATAAATTTATTGGAAAAGTTGGGTTTCATCACATGCACATTCACATGCTCACGCATGCGCACACACACACACACACACACCTACACACACACACACACACACACACACACACACACACACACACACTCATCTACACACACATGTACGCACACGCACACACACACACGCTTGCACTCACAAACGGACCAACAGTCACTCTCATGATATATATGAATAATTATTCTAAACTCTGCTCTATGCATTATTGACCAGAGGTTTCAGAATAAACTTGTTTACTGTGTGTAGTCAAACCTAGATGTTCCATCAACCATGGGACGAGAACGAAGTCTGCGGTATTCTGGAGAGTATGTATAGGTATAGTATGTATTAGGTAGGTGTTCATTTTTTGTGTATTGGCAAAACATGGCTCTACGGGGGGCTGATGATATAATGGGAGAGGTGGGAGAAGGGGAATGGGGGTACAGTGAGGTTTGACTGTATCTTTTGATGCCAAAAATAATTTGCCTTTTCTGTTTATGTACTGTGTTGCAAAAGTTCTGTCACACCCACCTTAAAAGTACAATAACTCATTTACTATTCAATATATAGCCAAATGAGATGGAAAGAATTGAGAATTGACCCGTGTCTTTTTTTATGCAAGGGAGTTAATTTTATCACACTTACCCTTGCAAAATCCAAATCAAAGTTTGCTCAGTACCATGTGTGGCCTCTTTCAGCTTGAATTACTAGTACAAAACGTCTGTTCATTGACTGATTTAATGTCCATATGGTTGTCTGAAGAATCCCCTACCATTCTTTGTGAAGTTCCTGACGAGTTTATAGGGAGTGCGGCCTAATCCTCCAGTCAAGGTCATCTTACAGATGTTCTGTTGGGTTAAGGCTTCTTGATCTTGCAGGCCAGTCCAGAACAATTATTTGATGATTTTGGAAAGAGTTTTCTCTGATCGTGGCCATTTGTGGTCGGATGTTATCTTGTTAGCACATTCTATCATCCGTGCCGTGTAGAGCAGTCACGGGACGAAGAATTTCGTCACTATACCGTCGTCCTTTGAGGTTGCTTTGAAAAGTAACAAAATGTGTACGATAAAGAGCAGAGATTCCACCCGATACCATCACATTTCAGCCACCGATTCAGGCTACTTGGAGGTAATTGTATTTGTGAAATCTCTATACTCTTCTTTTAAACACTTTTTCTCTTACATCGATGTGACGAATTAAATACCTTAACTACTGCAGAATAAAGCACTTTAACAACGTCTTAAACTTCATTGCTAATGTTGTTGTGCCCAAATTAAGGGATTTCTTCGAAGAAACAGGGTTAGAATGGATCCACACAAAGGGCGATAATCCTGTAATCCATGATCATATAAATGTCCAATGATGGTGTTTTAAATCCTCGATCATATAAATGTCTAATGATGGTGTTTTAAGACAGTCCGAAGTACCTGGCAGTCTCTGCACTTAGTTGGAACGAGTTTCGAACATGGGTGTTGACAATAACCCAATTCTGACACTGAGTTGTCGCCCTTGGTTGGCCACGTCTAGGCTTGTCTTGGACAGTTCACGTGGTGTTAAAACGTTTGTTCAAGCGTTAGATGGTCCTTCTGCACACATTTACGTTTCTTGCAACTGCAGAAAATGCAATTAAAGAATTTATCATACTCACAGTGCCTTTATTTTATTTTCTGTATTTATCAGTTTTGTTATTTTGAAAAGCGTTGGAAAAATGACCCCACCGTTAAAAAGTCCAGAATTTTATAGTGTGTAAGGTGTGTTTACACATTGTCAAAGTGATTCAAAGCAAATTTTGTGTGTAGGAAGGGTAGATTTCAACGTAGATCGAGAGATATCAATACCAATACTTTGCCCACATACTGTTTCGGTTTAGGATTTCTTTCGTCTGCTCTTGCACAAAGATTCTCATAAGTCACACAAGTCATATTTTTCATTTTTGCTACAATTTTTATACTGTACTGAAAATTATCGTAATATAATGGGTGTGACAGAACTTTTACAACTCAGTATATGTGTGAGGCATCGTGGTGAAATCGGGTGCTAGTCAAAATAATGAAATCTAGGAAACATGAATTTTTTTCTCCAATTAGGCAATTTTTGTAGAATTTTTGTTTTTTGGCTCTTCACCTTTCATGTCCATAGAAATACATTTCCATGCAAGTTCAACTGACAAACGTTGATTAATGGCACAAAGTATATAATTTTTTAGTTTTTTTAAAGACTCTCAAGCTATTGAACTTACCGTGACCATTTTCTCGCTAATTTTACGCCTGAAACCAGGGGACCCAACCTCCTTTAATCTCAAATATCTCGACTTCTATACATGAAAAATTGATATTTTTTACACCGAAAGCAAGGCAAATGAACAGCTTTTAAGATGGTACCAATAACACCAAATGCCCCAAAATTGACGAGTGCCTGATTCCACCACGTCGTGACACATATTTCTTATTTGTTATTGTTTGAATTTCATACCGCCATTTTTTTTTTTTTTAGGTCTGAGGGCTCGTCAATGTTGTATGTATTGGTTTTGAAATTGTTTTTTGATCAAATGAAATTGATTTAGTGTTTGAACATTATCAGTCTTTATTTTTTGTTTATGGTCAGATATTACTGCAACCATTGTTTTCAGTTGAGTTTAATCTACGTTTTAGGTATTAGAAATCTCTAGTCTCTAAAAATGTTGAATTTGTGTTAAGGAGGCACTAATTTGTTTGTTTCAAATTTATCCAGAACTGTTCATTCAAAACCAAATGTAATATAGCTTTGCATTTGCATTATGTTGGGTTTTTCATTTGGCTGTCTTCAGAATGATTTGTTTTTCTGAGCTTCAATTTTGCATTTGAAATGGGCGAATTCTGTTATCATGTGTATACAGTATAATCCACTTATATCGACGTCCGAGTTATTGACATTTTGACATATCGACATATTTTCTAATTACAAAATGTTTTCTTCAATTTACTCACCCTGAGACCTAACAATGACCACACACTCTATGGAATTTTACAACAACTGCAGCAAACCAGTGCTGTTCCAAGGTCAATATCGACAAGTGCTCCTTGCTTGGTGAATTTAACTGTTTAGTCATGATGTGCTTTTAACTCTGACTTTCTGCCTTGTATCAGGCAGAGGTGCCGAATTTTTAGGAAATTCAGATAGGCTGTTCGTTGAGAAGTCATCCTTTAAAAAAAAAATCGTGATATGAGATGTATGAGACAAAATTTTAATAGTAAATTTTTAATACAGTTATTACTTCTGAACTAATATTGTGTCATCGCACTTATCAAAAGTATCAACAAGATTCACTAAGCTTTGTTTTATTTCTTGGATTTAGTGCTTTTAAACACAGTCTTAAAATCTGACCCAGTATTTGTTTTTATCCCTTTCAAAAAGGCCGTAAAGACTTCAAAGTTAATTGAAAACTTTTTTCCTTTTCCATGTTTCTATGTACCGATAACCATGTAAATTTCTAGTTCTCAACATGAAAATGTACTTTAGTACAAGTTGAAAACAGTATATTGGGCTGCAGAAACCAGCAATACTGTCAATGAATTTGAACTAATTTCATTGATTGGATTGATATTATGTTATTTTGTGTTCTATGGATATTTGTATTCCTAATCTGTACACCATTTTGAAACAAATTTCTGTTAGAATGGAGAAAAACATACTTTTCTTTTGCACAAGCAATTCCCCTTAACCTTGTGACATTGATGCAATATCTTCTTGTCTAAACAGCCGTCCTGGGAAATTTGTCAGCTATGTGACCAACAAAGTGAAACGAAAGCTGGGCTTGTCCTGCTGTAAGCTGTTCCTCTCGTACGATGGCTCTCTCAAAGTCGAGACACTTGAGTTCTTCATCAGTTTGGGTATTCCCATCATTGAGCTCTTCACATCCACTTTACTGTCAGGTCAGAATCAGAAAAATAAGAAATAATGTGACTGATATTTGTATTTCGTTCCCAAGAGGGAAATGTAGAAAAAACAACAAGTGTCATCTCAGGAAACGTCTTAGGTAACTGAATTTTTTCGTTTCCAGTATCACAGTGTATGCTTCCTAAGAAGCTGAGAATATTTCTGAGTGTTCAAGGGTCTGCTGGGGTAATGAAGCATGCTACAGAGGTGTTCATTTTGGCCTGGATTTTGGCTGATCGGTGCAAAGTTGTTCAGAACTTTATATAATTGTTTCCTTGTCTGTTGTTACCTGCTTTAACATTTAATTATATTTCATACTCTTTGTACATGTCAAATTGCCATTTAAATAAACAAAAGTCTTTATACCATCTTTTCGACCACTTGTTTCTTTGTAAACTGTTGCCCCTCGGTGATCTAAAAGTGAAAAAAACCCCGGGGAGGTGCCACTGACTGAAGTGTCTTTAGGCCATTCCCAAAGGGGGGACATATCTCGTTCAAGCATAGTAGAATTGTAAATGGGCTGATTAATGTCACGCTCATAACTGTGCCTGACCTACAACAGGGAACTGCTGCTTTTTCTTTCCTGATCCTTTCTATCGTCATTTCCCTCTGCTTCTTTTCTATGTTTGTCACTCCCTTGTGACCTGCTATTTTGGGGTGCCTTGATAGTCGAAGCAGACCTTGTGCTGTAGATGCTAGAGAGGTGAGCAGTCTAAGTCTGATTCCCTGTAAAGACTTCTCTGTTGACACCCACCCCTTGGCGCTCATATGACCTTATGCAGTTGCGAGCGCCGTAAAACCCTCTACTATAAAAAAAAATTGTTTTAAAAAGTGAAAAAACAACAACCCGTAATAGTGTTGTCTCAAGGATTCATTATTGATAAATAGTATTGTGATGTTTGTCCATTCAGTCTTTTATGATATATAGCTTTAAGTTTTAAGAACCTGTTTGTATTTTGATGTATACAGGTTTCAGAATTTCATATCACAGGTGTAGTAGCAAATTTAAATAGTAAGTAAAAGTGCTGTGAGGAAGGTTTAGCTAATAAATATCTGCTCCCCTATCCGTCTCCTGAAATCCTGAAACCTTTGTCATTACTTTAGGTCCTTTATTTGGGGATATTATGTTCTTTTAAAGGTCCACATTCCATGGGAGGCTACTGCCAGTATCAAATGGGCTCTGTTGGTAAGGAGCTGAATGGTTTTACATCGAAGTTCACGGAAAAGAAAGGAAAGAATAGAAAGGTAGGCAGAGGTCTCTGCTTCTTTTGATTGCCTTGTGTGTTCAAATATGCACTGGGTTTACTCTTGCAATCTCTCAGGCACACAACTGCTCACATGCTAGTTCTCATGCTGATTTAGTTCTCCTGCAAAATTATCTAAAGAGTAAGAGTTTCAATTTTTTTTTTTACTATAACTCATGCATCTATAAGATTTTTTGGGTTCATTTTGCTCTTTACTGGCATTATCTAATAGAGTGAAGTTTTGTTGATATAAATTAATTGTACTTTCTATTGTCTTCTGGATTGAAAAATATTTCTTGGGATCAGAGTATTGTCTTGTCTGGTTCTTAGTTGTCTAGTTAATGGGTACAAGTCATAAAAATGTTAGCTTTTGTCCAGGGCTTGCAATTTTTTATTAACACTTTAAAAATTCTGGGATGCGAATAAGGAACCAGAGTGCATGTTCTCAATGAATAATAAAAGACATATTTTCATCTTGTATTCTATCACTTTTTGTAATAGTCATAATAGAGAAAAATGGCCAAGAAAGTGATTTTAAGTTTTACTTGAGTAAGCTCCCTTGACCCAAATTTGGTATTTTGGGCTCCAGCGGCAAGCAGGTTTTGCAATGGCTTATACATTTATAGAGGTCACGTCAGGGTACTAGCCCTTAATTGACAACAGTGCTTTTGGAATAGCCCTATGGAATTTAATTTAAGTAAAAAACCAACAAAAGCATTTACAAACTATTTTTATAAAAGGAAACCCAAGTTAAGGTCAGGTCCGTCATTAAAAAAGGGGAAAATAGGCTATGTAATTGTTAAAGGGTTAATGTGACTTGACCTGTTTTCCACATCACCCTATCATCATCCGGTAAATTATGTTGGTCACATAGTAACTAGAATGCATTTAGTTGTGAAATGAATTTCAAGATGCACATATCAAATGCGTTTTTCTCTGTAATAACTGTTGTACATCTGGTGCTCAGTGGTGGGGGGTGGTTCTAAATGTGGGTGGGGCTGAGAAATCAGTGTAGGTAGAGTTCAAAGGTAAGATTTCCTTGGTTCGAGGACATTCCAGATATGTGTGAGTATGTTTCATTCACACACTCACACGCAAATGCGCTCATATAACCTTATACAGTTGCGAGCGCCGTAGAACACTTACCAAAAAAAATAATTAATTAATTAAACACGCAAGCCCACACATACAACAGTAACTGGATTAGGCCGTGGGGTCGCAGAAAGCAAGGCATTCCTAAAACGTTGGCCCGTGATTCTGTTTTGGTTTCTGGGTCTCTGGGGAAAATGTGTCATACCCCCGCGAGCGGTGCCACTGACTGAAGTGTCTTTAGGCCATTCCCAAAGGGGGACATAAGGGACATTTCTCGTTCTAATGCACAGTAGAATTGTAAATGGGCTGATCCAACAATGTCATGCTCATAACTGTGCCTGAACTACAACAGGGAACTGCTGCTTTTTCTTTCCTAGTCCTTACTATCGTCGTTTTCCTCTACTTCTTTCTGCTATTTCCAGGGTGCCTTGATTGTTTGAAGCAGACTTTGTGCTGTTGAAGCTAGAGAGGTGAGCAGAGTAAGTCTAATTCTCTGTAAGGACTTCTCTGTTGACATCCACCCCTCCCACCCTTGGCGCTCATATGACCTTATGCAGTTGCGAGCGCCGTAAAACCTCTACGAAAACTTTTAAAAAGTGTGTCATGAACTTTCCCCCTATTGTCTGGGCTGGCAGAGAATGGGCCCTCTCTAACAACAGTTTCCGCGGGCTCTCGTTTGTTTCTCTTACCTTTTTTCATGAAGAGTTTCATTAGGAAAGGACCGTGGGAATGGGCTCATCCTTTGCTGAGCCCGAAACACATTTGATTGGCTGTTAGGTTACTATCGTTGTAAGCAATGACTACAGTGATTGGATAAACGAGCAAGCGTGTGTGTTCACCGCATGCAACTAAAGGCGGAGACGGAAGCTTCTGAAATGGTTTTAACGGTTTCAACTTATTATCTTGTTTATTAGAAGAAGCATTCATTTACAGAGGGAAAGAGGTGGGGATGGGAGTGGGTGGGGCTCAAGCCCTTTAGCCCTTTACTATGCCCTGCTACTGCTGGTGCTGATTGTTCATGCTGTTTTCATTTCATATAGCTCGAGGGTTGTATGTGAGTACTTGAACCTCCCCATTTACTTACATCATTCTTCCAATTCCTCAGATGTACGCCAAGGGTCGTCATGTCTGCATGGGAATTCTTCATCAAGTCAACCTGCATGTCATGGACCATGAGGGCTACGTCTACACTGGAATCTCAGCGTATAAAGGCCGTCATGACTTTCTCTATACCTGTTCTGATTTAAAAGGTACTGTAAATGCTATGAACTTTTATATGACTGATTTTCTTAAACATACTTTGTTTTCTTTATCAACATGAAAAAGAATTAAAGAAGCACCTTATGAAATTCCTCTCAATTTTGGATACAGTTTCATTGAGTTTCCGTTATTGAGGACACCGTCTAATCATGGTCCCTTTTTTATGCCCAACAAGTGATCTAAAATTTTTCCTTCTTTTTGTGCTGGTACAAGAAATTTTCTGCCCAAGTTTGTACAGAAACAAGTATGCATTATTTTGTGAAATTACTGACTTTGAAGATTCATCGATCAAATAGGTTTTTCCTGTAAAAACTGTTGTAACTGTCGTTAATGAAGATCATTTCTATCACGCCCACTCCCGTGTAAACACAGCTCTGGGCTCTGGTTCTGATTGTTCTGGCAGTTTTCATTTCAAATGGCTTGAGGCTTCTCTATGAGTTCTTGAATCCCTCCCAAATATGTTGTGTATTGTAGTAAAGCAGTGCAGAAAGTAAGACCATAATTTTTTTTCCAGAAGTGCTGATTCTGGATAATGGGTGTACTGTGGCGTACCCCCCAATTGAGAATCTGTTTAAAGACACACTGCCCATTGTGAGCCATTGCATGCTGGTTGGTCATATGCGCAGCTTTGCTGCCATTCTGCTCACTCTGAAGGTACCTATTTGACAGTTGATTAGATGTCTTTGGCATGTTATAATCTGGTTCTGAGGTTTTACCTTTTTCTGATCATTGATTTAGATTTTAAACTTAACTGTATGTCCTGAGTGAAATCTTTACAGACTGGACCAGAATATATCAGTTTTAGCCAGCTGCTCATGGGGTCTAAGAAGTCTTGTTTCTGAAAAAACATCCGTTTTTGAGACAGACATTTTGTGCTTAAATCAGCTGTCATATGTTAAGTTTACCTTTCCAAAACATTCATGTTTATTTGAAAGAGCAGCACAATGAAAGGAGGTACCGAGAATTTTTTTTTTTTTAGGTTGTTGTACAGTGGAAACCATATATAACAGGCCCAGTAATAACGGGGATCTGGTTATAACAGTGATACTCTTTGTCTCTATTTAAAATTATCAGCAATAACAGGGCCACATCAGAGCCCAATCGGTTGTAGCCGGGACAAAGGCTCGTTAACAATGTGTAAAAAGTAAGAGAGAGAGAGAGAGAGAGAGAGAGAGAGAGAGAGAGAGAGAGAGAGAGAGAGAGAGAGAGAGAGAGAGAAACGTAGTGATGGAGCAAGCCTATGCAAGCCACGCCACTGCAAGCACACACAGGGGGTGAAGCGAAAGAGGGCTGCGGTGTGCTGCAGACTTCGATCTAGCTCTAAGCCTAGCTGGATTAGTTCACAAATGCTGACTTCCCTTGCATTTCTGATTTAACAGGGATCTGATATAACAGGACTTTTTCTCTGGTCCCACCACCCCTGTTATATCAGGTTTCCACTGTATATAATTTGTGTAATAAGTACTATAGTTCTAAGTGTCAGGGGCTCCCTGTTTTATTTTTTTTTAAAGTTTTTTGATTCCTGTCATTTTATATTGACTGGACTGGAGAGTATGGGATGTCAGATTTTTTTTGCTTTGTTATTTAATAGTGCTGGGCGGCGAGGTTCCCAATTGTTGAAGGCTAGGAATCGTAGGATCGACTCCGAACCCAATTACTTACTTTCTAATGATATTACTTCTTTCAGTGGTTACCTAAATGGCTCCGGTCATCTTCAAGATTTAGAATAAACTTGATTTCGGAACACTACAAAGCCACAAGGCGGGGTTTTTTTTTCAAAAATAAATTTTAAAAAAAGAGGATTTAAATGATTAAAATTATTGGTAACCGTTGGTTTTCGTAAACGAAGTCGGAACTTTTCTTCAATAGTATTAATCTTGGGAATCGGTTCCAGACTCGATTCTTCGCCCAGCTCTATTATTTAAGTCTTCCTATTGTATCTGAAGTTAAGCCCACTATTATTCTTTGTACATTTTCAGGGACAAGGTTACTGCTATTAGTAACACGTGTTCATATGAATTGTTTTATGATTTGCATCTTAGGTGTATCGGTTAAGTGCTGTATGTCGCACGCAGGAGAAGCAAATGGGAAAAAATCTTTGTGAGTATCTCGGTCTTTCTCCTGGGATTTTGTATCCCTCTCAGCTCAGGCTGGCTTTATCAACCAGGATCGGAAGCCAGCCTCCTAAATAATCTTATTTGTATTGGTGGGGGCGCAAAAACACCCAACATTTAGAAAAAGAAACCCCCCAAAATCAACTGTTTAGTGCCTGTCACATGATTCCCCAGTCCGAGGTGTGTCCCACCACTTACAAGCCAACAAAGATCCTGGCTCGATCAGTCCAGATATGGCTGCGGCAGCGCGGCACCAATGCCACCACTGTGTCGGAAATCATCCAAAAGAAGAGCACATCAGTTTATGAGGTCAATGCAGTTTTTTTCGCTGTTCTTAGTTTATTTCTGTCTGTGCTATTTCTAATTAATTTTCTGTTCATGTTCAATTGGTGGATATTGTTTGTAGTTCTCTGCTCATGTATGTTGTCTTCTGTGTTTTTCTTGGTAATGCCTCATAATTTCTGATTCATGTTGATTTCTATCGGTGCCTTTCCTGATTCTTCGTTCTAGATAATCTTCTTCATGATGTTTTGCTATTGTGCAGAAAACTCTATTGTGCACAAATCTGTTTGTTTTTTAAACTAGTGTTGATTTTTAAAAGTTTTAGTTGAGTTAAAAAAACGCAGGAATCTGTCTAAGGCTTCTGTGGTTTTTTATTCTCTTTTTAAAATGTTTATGTTTTTGATGTTCTGAACCTTTATATGATGGTTCAAGGTTTGAGTCCGAGAAGAGTCTGCATAAAGTTCCATGCTCCTCCATAGATTACTTTCTGTCAGTTGACAACCAGCTGTTCTACCTTCTAAATGGCTGGTTTTGTGTCTGATAAGACATTACATTTCAAGAAAATCCTAATAGAAATAAATATTCTCTCTCATCATTATTTTTTATTTTTTTTTTGTCTGTGTGCAGGCAATTGAGGATGCCATCATCTCAGTGAACAAGAACCTGAAGCATCAATCAGCCTGGATACTTAAATGGAGGGTTCTTCCCATTGAGTTTTCCTTACTTGATGGGGAGCTAGGTGAGTGAGCAGGGTCTGCTCTAACTGTGAACCTCCTCTGCTTTCTTTTCTGCCTGATGTTTCCTCTCAAAACTTTTCTGCACCTGACCCTCTAATTGTGCTACTTTCTACTTTCATGTTGGCTCCTGTCTTGAAAACTTTCCAAGTGGGTGGTTGGCTTGTGCTCTGGTGTGGTTCGCTCCTTCTTTCCCATCAAATGTGAGGCGTGCTGACAAAATGAGTTACTTCACGCAATCCACAAATGGAGATATCAGCCAAAAATCGACACATTAGGGTCTAATTGGTAGATTTTCCATTGATGCCATATTCTTTATATATACAACCCTTCTTTTATTATTTCATTCTTATAAATTTTGAAAACTTCACCCTTAAGCGTGATGTATCTGTTTCCTTAAGGCTTGAATCCAAGAAGAAACTCATTTTGTCAGCAAGGTTCACAAATATCTATCTTCCTTATCTCTCATCTTTCATTTTTTTGTATGTTACTGTTAAGTAACACCTCTAATCTTTGGCACTTATATGACCTATTTGTGTTATAAGTGCTGTCAAACTCTTCTTAAAATTAAAGCTTAAGTTCTCCAGACTTCCCTTCTTTTTATACAGCTTATTAGTTTAGTTGTTTGCTCTGCTGCTAAGGTTCAAATTCTTGTTTCTTGAGCAGCTTAGGTTTGGTGCGATAAAAGTCTCAACATTATTCTATGAATTGCAAATGCTATAAAAGTAATTTACTATGGTGTAATATGTTTTGTTTTGGAGAGGCAATACTGCCCTAATGTTGCTTTGTAGTCTTCTTTTGGTCAAACTTGCTCATCGCTTATAATTCATGTCTTCATGAATCAGATGTGATGGCAGGGTCTCTGATAGTAGAATTTAGTAATCTCTGTTAAAATTTTGTTATCTATGGTTTCCTATGCTATGCAACTTGTTAATGTGGGAATGCTTGAACCTGAAGTCAAATCACCCACGCTTTTCCTGACATTTTTTCAGATCCAATCACAATGGAACTCAGACGAGATATTATCAGTAAAAAGTACAAAGATGTGATTGACGGAATCTATTCCAGCTGAGTCGCCTTGCTGTTCTCAGTTTGACACTCTGCCTATGATAGACTGTCTGGTGATGTTGAGATGTATGATTTTATTTTCAGCTTGTGGTCATAGTGGAAAGTCGTGTTAGTTCTTGCTAGAAACACACTCACTCCACCCTGGATGTTGGGACACCACTTTTTTAGAAGTTTGCAGACTTGTTTTGTCTTGCATAATGACATAATGAAGTTTAGCTGTAATAAGAATTCTTAATTCTTCATTTTGGAGTTCTGTATCTTTAAAACTGTTCCATATGCAGGAATGTGGCTTTTATTTGCATATTGTGTGCTGCTCATTATTTGATGCTCATTATTTGATGTGTAAGACTATGTACTACTAAGTTCTTACATTCTTGTAGTTTTTACATTTGAAAACTTATGTCCTGTTTTTGCTTTTGTTTATACCGGTATGTATGCGTTTATAAGGTCACCACCATTCAATTAGTTTCCCCTGTAAGTTCTTTTGTTGGGGCTCTTTTATATTTTATTATGTGTTTGTGCAATACACCCTGATCAATATTACTGCTAACAGCAAAGAAAATGAGTAATCTAAGTGTGAGGATTCAAGGGAAATAAGACAGGACGTACTGTTTACACATTAGTGTAGTGCATAATTATCCCCCCCCCCTGATTATTTCCGCATTTCCTTAACTCTGTACTATAAGAAAAAAGTGAGTGTTATGATCCAGCCCTAGCAGGTGCAATGCGCTCTCATGTAGGCTTGTATAGATCAGCTGAGTGTACAGTGCGACATTTTGGGACTGAGAGACGAGCTGTGGGTGGGGGTGTGTGTAATGAATGTAGTCGATCTTGCCTTATGACGGGCTTTAAAAAAAAGGAGTGGGGGGGGGGGGGGGGGGGGGGGGGGGGGGGGGGAGGGAGGGTGTGTGCTTAAAGAAAGTGATAATGAATGTAGGGATATGTGGGTGAGGACAATATGTTGCCTGGCATGACTTCTAGTATGACTTGTTAGTTACTCTCAGTACTAGTGTTTGGCAATCTTAAATGATTATATTTTAAGATCTGTGTGGTCTCAGTGTCTTTCCACAGGTTTTCATGACGTTTTCTGTCAGTGCATGAAGCTTTACTTTTGTGCTTCAGACTTTGTTAAGTATTGTATGAATTTTTAGTTGTGCTGTGATCATTAAAGTTTTGTCACATTTTGAACTGGCGTCATCTTGGCTTTCTTTGAAATTCTTTCTAGGAACTTATGACATGATTGATTTTTATTCCTGTCTATGTCTTAAGGCCCGGTTACACATAACGATAAATTGTACAAAAACTGGACGATATAGCGATCATACGATAAATTGTTAGGTGTAACCACAAAATTGTACAAAATTTGGACGATTGAACGATGGTTTGTAGACTCAGACGAGAAATAAGAGCTGCTTGATATTTTCCGTGTGATCACGGTCACACTGGAAGGAGACGTGATGTGACGTAGATTCACTTTGAAATTTGCCGCTGCGCAGAACGATACTCAGGGCTCAAAATTTTAAAAATAATCATCGTAGGTAAAAAATTGATTTCATATTCTGAATCAGCATCTCAAAATAAGCAAAGTTGCTGGCTGGGAACCTGATTTGGTGTGTTATTATATATATTTTAGCAATTTTATTATTTAGTTGATCGTCAAGGGTGAAGCTGTGTATCAAGGTCACTTGGTGCGTTGCACATCTGCAATCAAGTCGTAGCTTCCGGTTCTACACTCTACACGGTAGGACTACAGTATGGCCACCCTTTTCTAAAGACACTGTTCTGCTAAATCAAAATGTACAGGGAAAGGGGGGGGTGCTCTCGTGATCTAGAGGTGTTCGCCTTCCATTCATTAGGTCCAGAGCTCGAAACCTTCACATAGAGAGCAGGCAAATCCCTATTGTCGCTAAGAGCATATTATGGTGGCTTTATGACGAGGAATCTCCTCAATCGAAAGAAAACTTCATGATAGATTGGAACGTGTAAACAGACAACACAGTTCGATAAAACGGACAGTTCTCTCATACGACGAATCATACAATTTATCGTTGCGTGTAACCGGGGCTTTAGAATCAGCAGGTGCTACAAAATTGACTAACTGACTGAAGTTCAAATCCTATGTCCACATGCGGTCTGAAACTGTTTTTCTCTTATGATACCTCACCTGTGTCTGCGACCTGTTTGGGGACCAAATTTCAAACTGATCTGATGGGTGCTTCACCCGGTGGGGTGTTAGAATGAAAACTTTCCAAAAACTAATCCAAAGATACACCCCAGTGATCACATGTCTAAAGGTTATTGTCACTGGACATACAGTAGCTTGATGTTCCAACTTATAGTGTGGTGTACTGAAGTGTTTAATTATGGTGCTTAAAATTATTGTTGTTCTAACCAGTGTTTGTGGTGTAATGTAATGGATAAGCTTTTTGCCTTATGAACAAAAGGCTTGAGTTGGGTCCCCAAAGGAGGAAGGCGTATTATCAAGTTTCTTTGCCTTTCTACTGAGATGCACAGTCCCTCTCAGTCTGGGATGGTACTGAACATTAATTTACAACCACTTACAAGACTCGTATATTTTGTTTAAGAATTAATAGTAGACTACAAGTGATATACTTGTATACCAGGTGATTATATACATACATGTACATCATGTATACTGCAGCCATTACACGTTTTGTCTCTTCCTATTGATGTCAGGTAGGCCGACATGTCAATAATGTTTGTGGTGTAGTGGTTAGGTGCTTCATTGTTGAACGCAAAAGACTTGAGGTTGATCCCCATATGGAGATAAGTTTTTTCCCCCGAGGAGCTCAGTCTTTCTGCTGAGATGTTGTATCCCTCATAGCCCAGGTTAGCTGCCATGAGCAGGTTCGAAGCCCACCTCCTCTGATGATATTTCTATCGTCGCTAGCTGGTCTAATAATAATAATAATAATAATAATAATAATAATAATAATAATAATAATAGATAGATCCTTACCTTTTTTCATTTTTCTCCATTACCATGAAATACTATAAGTTGGGTGTTATTTGTTAAGGACCTCTATGGTACCGGCACAATTTGTTTTGTCTCACCGTTTATCGTAGTGTACTTGAATTTCCGCCATCACTCGGAAATAATAGGCTACG